CTTTCACTTTGTCGACCAGAGATGCTTAGATTTCGATGCATTTAGAATAAATAAGGTGTTCTTAGTTGAAAAGACAGCAAAAATACCACCACGAAGCGATACATTTGTATAGATCGCAATTAATTCACTATGAGGTGGGGAAAATGTAGGTCGGCGTGATTCCCACCAAACAATAACAATGCAACCATACGGCAAGTTTTGGCCGATTAGTTTTATTTTTCAAAACACGATGTTAATAAGTATCCTAAAAGAAAATTACGATAATACTTACATAAATTGACGCCATAAACAGATCTATCGAATGTTTCTTTTACTGAACCATCATTATAATCGTCTGCTGGTTGGGTCAAGTCAGAGGGGGTGGCATTGGGCGATGGAACAGCCGCAATGGCAGAATGACGATCTCCCGAAAGAGGTTGTTACCCTACTTCAGAAAAAGTAATAATTCTACTTCGTGGAACGTAGTTGGCTTTTCTAAACACATAAACTTGATGGTAAAGATGTCTAGGAATATGATCCTGGCACGTATAGCCCGATTTGTGTCGAATTTCATATTTTAAAATGCTTTCTTCGTCTTTACATCGTACTACTCAAGCTTTCCACTCGGAATAAAAACATAAACACATTCCCCGGAAATTCTCCTGGAATCACAGATTTTTATGTTTCAAACCGCAAGAAAATTCGATGATTCACGACTGAGAAATCGAAATTTAAAACAAGTACCCCCCCAAATCTAAGCGCGCAAAATTGCGAGACGGCCGAGTTTTCCCGTGTTAAACTTTAGTCAATTAAAAACTAAATATGTAATCATAAGTATCAGTTTCTCGTTCACCATGGAGAAGGAAAGACACAGAAAACAGTGGTATAATTTTTATTAGTGTTTACCAAAATTAAAACCAGCTAATAGTTGGATGAAGTTGTCCAAATCTGGCTCCAGCCGTAGCTGTCTGCCTTGAAAACGGCTCGCCTGCGGTACCTACCTTAAGATCTTAACAGTGCTTGGATGTAAAAGTACCAGATCTTTTTTGCTTGGCAACATAATTTAACTCTTTATCTCCGGCAAGCCGATCCCAGTGGCTCGCGGTCGGAACCTCTGTGCCGGTGAGCGGCTGACAGCGGCTCAGGCACATTCCTTTACGACTTCGACATCAAATTACTTTTCGGCAATTGCAAAAACAGGTCTCTTTTATGGGGAGTTCATTCATTAGATGAAGATTTGTCAAAATAGGTTGACTCGATTTCATTTAGTTACCCATTTAGTGACGTTTTTGTCATTTTTAGATTTAGTACCTAAAAAGGGCCCCAGTGTAGTAGGTTTACCCCTCAAGGAGATAAAGAGTTAATTACTACTTGTTGAGCAGTCAGTCTTCTAGTAAAATATCTGGTATATTTCCCTGGCAGAGGCTCAGGTTACTTCACAATGACTCTTGGCTAGCCATTTTGTCAAATTTAGAGACTTTTAAATGCTCAACAGTGCCATTCATATTATCCATCTCCTTCCATTGCCAAGTTATGGGCTGGGTGGGCAAAATAAAAATCCAGGAGATATTAAGTTGCCTGAAGTCGATTTCCATGTCTTACAATTGTATGTCCAATGCCTTATCCACTATTCTAATAGGGACATGAGCTGTTGGTCATGCCCTTCTACTGAGGCTGTTCCAAATTTTCCTTGATGTTGTGACTGATAGCTCTAATTGGAGTATTGATATCTATGTTTTGTATATGAAACTCACGGGTTCGTATCAATATTCTTTTACAATCCTAATATTGTGTTACAGCACATTGCAGCTCTGTATGGAGGCTACTTGCGGAGTAAAAACCGTCACGACGAGGCTGGCATTATGTATGTCAAGGCTGAAGAGTGGGAGCTGGCCCTGGAGGCATTCATTGCATCTCACGAATGGCGTCAGGTCTTCTGTATGGCAGCCAAGCTAGAGTACAGTGCCAACAGACTATCGGAACTTGCGGTCAAAGTGGCAGGTTTGTCTTTGGAAGCAAAAGAAGAATCTTTTCATTCTACAAAGGGCTTCAGAGTGAATGTTTCCTATACACAAAAAAAGTACTCTGAATGTTTTAGGAAGACACTTCATCAACATTCATTTACTGTGTTTTAAATTATTTATTCTTTTCACCTTTACTTTCTCAGCTTGTGAATATGGTCCTCAAACATTTACTGTACTTATGGGTGGTTTGTTTGGTGTTGATGTGTTCCTTTTGCTTCTTTTTTATGGTAATGTAGTATTTTCCCAAACTGATAATAGAAAAATGTTATAATTGTGCTGACTCTGTGTTATCTTCACCTGTCCAAATTACTTCTACAGCATGGATGTTGTCAGTGTTTGCTACTCTATTCAGCATATCATTTTAGGCATTTTTGTTCATTTGAGTTCCAAGCAAACAAAATCTTAATTCTGTTGCTGCTTTATGGTATCAATATCAACACTTGGAGTATCCCTTGTCATACATCAAGCTACATCTATATACAGGAGTATGTACACAATTTTATGTTCTGTTCCCAGGACACCTTAAAGGGAAACAGAGGTATGCTGAAGCTGCTCAGGTTTTCGAGCAGTACGCACAGGTATGTTTCTCTCTGAAGTTGCTGAGATTTTGCCTCTGTCCTGTGATTCAACTTTTGGTTTTTTTTAACCCTGGAAGCATGACTGCGCTATATATAGGGCTTGAGCCAGGCTACCCAGAAAGCGCGATGGCCTTATATAAATAGGGCTGAACTACTTCGCTTTAATTGAAAATTTCAGCGTTCCTTATATGGTGTATGATGTAATAAATTGCAGGTCAAAGTTATAAATAGTGACCAGTGAGTTTTCAAGTTGTTTTGACTTTGTAGCGTATCCTTTGATCCAGATATCGATAGGTAAGGTGATGCGGTCCAGCTGAGCGACAACACGCTATGTGTTATCACTTGTTCTGCTCTGCTAATATACTAATTGTTGACTTCATCGCGTTTTGCGCTTTGTTTGTAATTGTTTGACCAATAATCATTTTTGAATGACTCATTCTATTAGCTTTGAGAAAAAAATATGGTTTTATATGTCTTTTATCTTCTGCTGAGCCATAAATGGTCATTTTTCAGTAGCAGGTATACATCTCTGATATCTCAGCTGATATCCCCTCGCCAAACCCCCGTGTTTACAACTGATCGGCCTTGGTGGTGGGGCATTGTGGGGGTCTGTTATTTCCGGCTAAACGCTTATAGGGCTAATATGTTCTGTACCAGCCAAAAAAATAAAAAAGAAGCGCCGTATAAGTTCACTTTATCATTTCAACCTTTTTTCTGTGTTTGAAGGATGTTACCTTAACATTTGTTCACAGGACCCAGAAGAAGCTGTTGCTGCTTTGATTGAGGGAGCACACTGGAATGAGGCTCTGCGAGTGGTTAGTTTGTATGATATTTCACAACACAGAACTGCCATTTGTTGTTGGAAAATGGATGAACAAAATTGTCGTTGTCTTTTTGACTAAAGGATGTTTTGACCAACATTTTCAAAGTTTACATTTTCATGTCTTAGTGCATTGTATAAATTTTAAAGTTCTCAAATGAATTTGGCCTTTATTTGCTTTTATTAATTTGTTGAAATACGATAAAACCATTTACTCATCAAGATATTTTAAAGACTTCTTTCCTCTAATATTTTTTACAAAAGAGAATGAAAAGATATTACTGGTACATCAATTAAAAAGTGAAACAATGTTGCCTGTTACTTCAGATGCATAAATACAAGCGTTTGGATTTGATTGAGACTCACTTGAGGGAAGGTCTAGAGGAAAGCTGGGAACACCACATGGAAATGCTCACGGCACAGAAGGAACAGTTCAACAAGTACAAAAAGAGATTGATGCTTGTCAGAATACAGAAAGAAAAAGCAAGATCTATTATGGGTATGGAGCAAAGATTTTAGAATTATTTTTTTTTGGAAGGAAAGAAGTTGTTGGGGTTTTCTTTCTATGTCATTTAAACTGGAATACCTTTAGTACATTGTTTAAAAGTCATTCAGTTTGCCACAGCAAAGCTGACAAGTGGTTGTGGTGTCCTTGATGTATATATAGTGTAAGCAGTATAATATTATTTACAGTTTAATGAGCATTATGTACACTAAGTATGCATTGCTGACCAAAAGTACCATAATTACACTAATTTTCTCATTCATAAAAAATTAACTGTTCTTTTCTTTTCATCTTTGCATGTTTGTTATGTCTCCTCATAGGGATGATGTGTAAAAAGTACTCGGAGAAAAAAGTTGTTTAGATCATTGTTCCCTTCTTTTTTTCTTTACATTTCCCATTGACAACTTTTTATGTAAGATTATAAAGTTGCTTTTGTTCAGTGATTTCATTTTTTGCAGATTTATTTTAGCTATAGAGCTATTGGTAAATTATTCATAATCTCTACATCATTATCATCGGTCAAATAAAACAATTTAACCGTATCATAAAGCAGTGCGTTAACTACTTAAGACAGACCCCTTCATGTAATAAGTATCTGTTGTAAAATGTCATTCTTGTACATATTATTTTGACTACATTGGCAGTACCTTTCATTACGTTTTCATTGTTCTGATCAGAGGGAGCTGCAGAATACAATGATGCTGATGCTGATCTGTTCTCGGACACCACCAGTATGACAGGCGGCAGTGTTGCCTCACTCACATCTGTGAACAGTTCTCGGTCAACCGTGTTTAGCAAGGCAACTGGGTAGGTAGGGTATTTACTTCATAGGCAGCATAAATTTTTATCTTTCTTTATTTTGAATAATTTTTTAACCCTATCCGTACGCCCTGGGGTCATTTTGTACCCCCACGGTTGTATTCTTCACATTTTACTGTCCCCTTCAGTTTTATGCACCCCGCATAATTTAGCCAAATTTGATTATTTTTTGCATAATTTCTGATTATTTTCCTTTATCATTCTTTGTTTTAAAAAATCAGAATCGCATATTTTCACATTTTTGGGCTCAGTTTGCAGAATTTCAGAATTTTTCTTGCATATAACGACAGGGACAGATTTTTAGAATACTTTTAGTACGAAGATCTCTGAAACTTTCAGTATTTCTCAAAAAATCATTTTGACAGACTACTATGCAAAGCATACGGATCAGATTAACGAGTAAACTACCTTTTTGGAAAGTGGTTGCTCAGAGTTCCCCATGTCATATATATGGATACGATAGTAAAACACAACGTACGGATAGGGGTAAAGAAGATTATATTCTAAATTATTTTTGGGGGAGGTAAAAGTTTTACTGTGCTTATATATAAAGATTAGCAGGGTACTTTCTGATTTTACTCTTACAATATATCATGAAACAATGTCCACTGAAATTTTTGTGCTGTGTTTTGTCTCCCTTGAGTAATTATCATTTCTCTGTGACTGGTTTCAGATCCTCGAGAACTCGTAGGAAAGCTGAAAACAAGAAGTGGAGCCTGAAGGAGGGAAGTGTAAATGAAGAGTATGCTTTGGTGGACGCTCTGGCCCAGATCATCAAGAGCACTGAAGGCCTCAAAGGTCAGCTTTGATTAGTTAAGATGATATAGTGTAGTTTTAATCCTCTCTCTCTCTCCCGGCACTGTGGCATCATAAGTGGTCAGCGATACTGACAGCACGGAAGAACTCAATACTCGCTCGGGGTTCCTTGAAAAGTACTCAACGTGGGCCACTGAAATGTCCCAGCAGACATGTTAGTTTTAACCCTGCCTATGCTATAAGTGCTAATCTGTGCAAACAGAATCTCTGAGCAAGAAGTGCTGTATGTGTTGATCTATGTTAGCCATTCAAAGGATGAGAAGCATGTGTGTGGTTCATGTATGTTTTTCAGCCATGACTGTAGACACTGAATGCAATGAAATTTTCCTGTTGTACATTTATAAGAATTTTGCCAAACCTATTATGGTCCCATTTAACCCCTTTGTTGCCTTTCAGAAGCCATGTCAGGGGAAGCAAATGTCTTGAGGAAGACATCAATTCAGTTCAATTATATGATGATACAGCCAGTCATTTGTCCTTAAAATTTATTCTTGAATGAGTTTGAAACAGTACTATCATGTGTACTCGTTTTGACTGCAAGAACACATTGCAGAGTGAAATCAATTCTGCCTTCCTTCCCTTTTTGATAACATAAACTAAAATTTGGGAGTTTGGTTCTACTTTTCAAACCTACATTGCTTGATTTTATTTTGGTGCTTATGAAAATATTGTTTGTCTGTGCATATTTCAGAGGAGACAAATGTCTTGATGAAGACATTAATACAGTTTAATTACGATGATAAAGCCTGTCAGTTGCAAGAGCTACTCAATGGATTTCTAGCCCAGATCCAAGCCTCTGTGTCTACAATCTGGATCTATACTCCTGGGAGCTGCTCGGGCGGAATGGCAAGTCAAGTTCCTTCATTCAGCCTGAATAGGGTGGACATAATGTTGTGATTATAAGGCTTGCTGACATAGACACTTTTCTACAACAGATACTTGTTTTTTTTTCTCATATCCCCTTATGATCCAGTTACAATTTGATTGATTGGAGTACAGTGGAGTCCACTTATAACGAGTCCTGAAATAACGAGAAGTCTTTCATGAAGACACTATTCTAAAACCCAGTTTTTTTTCTCTTCATCTTTGTAAATAAAATACTGCTATAGCGCAATCAGACAAACACGCTAGTCAGGTATAGCGGAATATTGCTACTGCTGTGCTCGCCGCACAAGCCAACTATCATCATCTTTGCCTTTCTCACCCTGCACCAGGGTATAGTGGTATAGGCCACGGACAGACACCTTCCACCTTTCTCTATCCTGGGCTAGCCTTTTGATGTTATTCCATGTCTTCCCAATTTTCTGTACATAGATTTCTGTGATTCTTCTCCAGGTTCCATGCGGTCTTCCCCTTGATCTCTTACCCTGTGGATTCCAATCCAAAACTTTCTTTGTTATGCAGCTGCCTGACTTCTTGAGAGTATGTCCAATCCATCACCACCGCCTTCTTGCTACCTCATCTCTGACTGGGATCTGTCTTGTTTTCCTTAACACTTCCACATTGGTGACCCTGTCTGTCCATCTGATCCTCAGTAACTTTCTTAGACATCTGTTCAAGAAAACCTGGATCCTCTTTGTGCAAGTCTGTGATGCGTTCCATGTCTCACATAATGTAAAACCTCGCAAGTTGAGAAACCTGTTGGTGAACTAGCGAAACAAAGAATGGGAGAGCCCACGTTTGTCAAAAATGAAGGCCAGAGCGAATGAGTGGGGAGGATGTGGCATGCGCAGACAAACAGATAGCATCGCGTGATAGGCAAGCCTAGTCTAGATTATCTAGGCCTACCATGCTTCTCACTTCTCCGATGCGGGGATGGAGAGGTCACAATGATTTGATGGATGGAGCGAATGTGTGACGTGCGCAAGCTGACGGAGTGCACCACCAGGTGTGGTAGGGTGGGGGACAACACAGCGGGCGAGTTAGCCTAGAGCCTTTTCTTTCTGATCGCCAATGCCGAGCTGTCAACATCGCTAGCTCTAGAGAAAGAAACCAGATTCGATTTTTGATCAAGTATGACCTAGAGGTCATGCTGAAACAAAATCATCATCAGGGGTGATAGCAAAAAGAAATAAACAAGAGTACCTAACTCATAGATTAGACCTACTTTATTATTTCCATTTAATTTATTACTTGATCCCTTATAACGAGAATTTTGCTGTAACGGACATTTCGCACCAGTCCCATCCCTCTCATTATAACAGGATTCCACTGTATACTTGTCATATGTAAGAGAATTTTTTGAAGTATTTTGGTATTTCACTCTTTATTAGCATCACTAAAAACAGACTCTGAAACTGAACAGTTATAATAATAATAATAATGAAGATCATTTCTATAGCGCCCACTCCCGTGTAAACACAGCTCTAGGCGCTTTACATAAATGCATGTAAGAAAAATATTCATGCACGCGACACACACACACACACTCACACACTCATATACACACAACACACACACATATACATATACACACGCATACACACTCACGAACACATAACACGCACACATGTATGCCAAACACACACAAACACACACTCACACACACACACACACACACACACGTACACACACACACACACACACACATCTACTTGCTTATCACACGCACACGATTACACATCGTCACGAAATGAGAATAAAATAATATATACACTGCAATTCACAAAATACATAAATGGATACATAGACATTTACATAACATTGAACCGAACATGAATCTACTGACTTAAAAAGGATGTCATTAAATGTGTCTTTAAAGATTTTTTAAATTTAGACTCAGATGTTGTATGTCTCAAGGGTTGGGGAAGAGAGTTCCAAACTGACGGAGCAAGGTGGGCGAACGATCTTTCGGCTAATTTTTTACCGCCTTTTCTAGGAACTCGTAAAAGATACTGGTCGCCTGATCTTAGTGATCTAGATGGAACATAAATCTGGATGAGATCACTAAGATATGAGGGAGCTTTGTTATTGACACATTTATGACATAATATTGCAATTTTATATGACATTCTAGCTGACACGGGAAGCCAATGCAACGTTCTTAACATGGGAGTAATGTGGTCCCTCTTCTTTTTCTTTAGTACAAGCCTAGCAGCATGATTTTGAAAACGTTGTAACTTGTGAAGAGAGGTATTTGGTAAATTAGCTAGTAAAGCATTGCAATAATCGATGCGTGAAAACAAGAAAGATGACACGAGCGTTTTCTACGAGTGTTCGTTCAAAAACATAGACATATGACCAATTCTACGCAATTCACAAAATAAAATGGTACATAAATAATTGATATGATGTTCCATTGACAATTTTGAATCAAAATACACTCCCAGATTTTTTGCTTTGTTAGTAAAATACAGTGTTTCATTTTCAGTACAAATATGATCAATGTCTACGGGGATATGGCTTTTCTTTGGGTTACATAACAGAATTTCAGTTTTATTTCACTTGTTGCTTATGGGGATTTGTGTGGTTATTACATCTATAGGCATGGATAGCCAAACAAGCTGAAGAAAGCCTGTTACATACACTGTCAGTGTACCGGTATTATGATCTGAAGACAAAGAAGAAATGGACAAAACCAAGTCTTTAGAGTTTTTATCAATAATCTATTGTGTTCCTTTCTATTCAGAGTTTGGGACCAAACACAACAGCAAGTGCCATTGCTCAGGCAATGCAGAGTGGAAAAAGGGTTCAGGCAGAGGAGGAAAAGCTTGGTAAGTCCTTACTACGGGGAAAACTTGTGTGTTTTTATTTTCACCAAAGACCAAATGTAGGCACTGCTATTGTCAAGAGAATTGAATCCCAATAGGTGTCATAAACATATTGCGTAAGCCGCCTCGCAGCCTTCTGAATGTGGTTTCAATGAAATCGGGGTAATTCAGATCGCTGTTTCTTTGCTCTTTAGAGCCTGCTATAAAACACCAAATCTCCATGAAAAGTTCAGAAATTTCTCGTTATAATACATACTGTAAGTTGTTTGTATGTTCTAGTATTTGGAGCTGGAGAATCGCCATGGAAAGTGAAGCCCCTCAAAGTCAGAATGCGAGGTCAACTGGTCAAAAAATTGACACCCATGCATTTGAATGCTTTACAGAAAGATTGGTGATACCATTTTTTCATTGGCAGAGACCTATAGAGCTTTGTTGAACGGGGTTTCCTGTGGTATATTTTTTACCTTTGGTGTTTAGATAGAAAGCCTTTAAAAATAGTGTCAAAATTTGCCAAGATCATTATACACATAAAATATATAATGTGTAAAATACCATCTCAAAAATGGCACCAACAGAAGGAAGGATCAGTTCATTACAATTGAGTCATCAGCTTTGAATTATTTTTACATCGATCCTTCGGCGAAACTCCGAAAGTATATGACCCCCAACACAGGGAGCACTCAATACACTACAAGTATAGAGCCGCTCGCTCGCCACAGGGGCTAGTGTGACGCCGGCCGGGACAGGTCTCTGTATTTCTGTAGAAATAGCCACAAATTATCATGTTTTGTTGTTTTTTTTATAGTAGAGGTTTAAGGCGCTTGCAACTGCATATGATCATATGAGCGCCAAGGGGTGGATGACAACAGAGAAGTCTTTACAGGGAATTGGGCTTACTCTGCTCCCCTCTCTAGCTTCAACAGCAAAAAATCTGTTTCGAATATCAAGGCACCCCTGAAATACTTGGTCACAAGAGAGTGACAAACATACAAAAGAAGTAGAGGAAAATGACGATAGTAATATTAGTAAGGATTAGGAAAGAAAAAGTAGCAGTTCCCTGTTATAGTTCAGGGACAGTTATGAGCCTGACATTGTTGAATCAGCCCATTTACAATTCTACTGTGCATAAGAATGAGAAATGTCCCCCCTTTGGGAATGGCCTAAAGACACTTCAGTTAGTGACACCATGTTTGAGGCAATAAAATACTGATTTTCGCCGGGGGGGGGGGGGGGGGGGGGGGAGATAAGCTCCATACCTATGCAATATTGATTGTACTCTGTTAAAAGTTAATCGTCGATGTTTAGTGCACTTGGTAACCTACTGTTTTATTTTTTATTACCTGCCAAGTGTGGCTTTATTGAGGTTCGCAACATTAAATTATATAATAAAACAGCTGCCATTTACCGTACTTAAAAATTGATTGAAAAGTAAAAGAATAGTACCGGTACCAAAATTCTCAGCAGACATAGGTCTTTCATATGAAACAGGCAAATTTGGCATACAGCTACTTGAGCTATTTTGAAAATTTAGTTTCTGGTACAGTAGTCTCCGCTAAACGCACGGTGCTCGGAAGGGCTCCTTTGCGTGTGTTTATACGGAGCGTGCGTTTACATGAACCTTAGCAAGGGGAGGAACGGACACAGTCATCTCAATTCCTTATTACTCTAGTGACCTCCCTTGGAGGGAGAGGGTCATCATTTTGGCAGATAATGTGTGACCGTTTTGTGAAGGATTCCCCGACAGGGGTTAAGAATACAAAGGCGTTGAATGGGGGGGGGGGGGGGGGGGGGAGAGAAAGGCAAACTCAATGTAATTTGTAATTAATATGCACTGTAAACGTCGGTAACAGATAGCCTAAGAGGAAACTGTTTGTCATAGTCATAGAGACGACGGACCAGCCACGTGGCTTTCCAAGCGACCACCCCCGACCGTAAATTCAATCATCCAGAATCATCCCCGAGAAACATTTTCTCTTGTGATTCGTTAAACAAGCACGTTATAAGTTCTTCGAGTACATCTGATTAGGCTTACTTTGCTAATCTTTAAAATCCTATAAAGGCCTGTCTAGTGTTTTACGGCATTAGCGCGAGTCGCGCATCAGGCCTAGATTTAACTAAACATTACACGCAGTCACTCAAACACCAGTCAGAAACCTTCTCTCAAAGATACATTTCCAGTGACCAATCAAAAAACATTTCAGTCCCCCCAATCCCGCCCCCCCCCCCCCCCAACATTTAACTGGCCAGCCCTAGATCGAGACCTATGCGTCAGTGAAAAGTAGGGTGTGTAAACGCAGTCCATCACTCTCTTTGTACGGCGTGAGGGGCACTCTCACCAAATATCGGATTTTCTAGTAAATTCTAGGCTCGTCTTATGCAGGCTGTGCAGGTTGTAGTGAAAATTTCCCCTTGCCAAGCTTAACTTGTCGGCGTATTTCGCGGATCGGAGCGTGCGTTTAGAGGGAGTGACCTTGCGTTTCAACGTCTAAATTATATAGTAAAAAACCCGTCAGATGACGAAAGCGTGCGTTTGAGCGGAGCGTGCTTTTGTATGGCGTGCGTTTAGGCGGAGACTACTGTACCTACTTTTATGGATTATCAGACTTTGAGCTTCCTACATATTTGTACTGGCCCATGTCTGGGTCACTAAAACTTATTGACCAAATGTTAGTCCTAAGGAACAATATTTGGCTCAAAAGGCTGTATATATAAGTTTTGGCCTGCAAGTTAATGCATGATTTCTTTATACTAATAATGCAGCAGGTTCTGTCTTCAGTCTCTTTTGAGGTTAGCATAAAATTCTGAATTTGCTGGATTTTGTGTTGTCAGAGGAATGTATGACTTTGACAAGGACTTTGTTCTTATTTACTGTGTGTTAACGGATGAATCTCATAGCAGAGGAAAAACTGAAAAGTGTAGTTTATATTTGTATAGTGTTGAAGTTAAAGGCCTTATTTTAGCTTTCATGGCTGCACAATCTTCCTACTCTTAATTTTTCAAGTTTGAAATATTTTCCATGCAAATCAGGAAGCAGTTTTTCAGGCGGTGTACTTTAAGTTATTATTATTATTATTATTATTATTATTAATATTATTATTATTATATTATAGAAAGTTAATAGTTTAACATGAATGTAGGCCAATGGTACATTTTTTTAATTTCACAAATAGTACTGCATGGCATGTAGGACTAGTTTGGAAGACATCATCGTTGCTTTACACTGCTAAATAATTTTTATGTTTACTCACTGATTTTATAGACTTATAATATTGTTATATCTGTAACAGATCCAGTTCTCCTGGTTCCTCCAACTTTGAGCAAGCACCTGAGATGGAAACTTCACATGGCTGGTGGTGATGATGAAAAGTGAATTCCTTTGTGCTGCCCCTCAACATTTACTGACTGGACTCATATTCAGGGAAGCCTAACTCCTGCTGGCTGTACTGCACTATTTGGCCCCTTTCTTGATTTTTTGTTAGCAGCAGCATCACATGCTCAGCACTGTGTCATTGTGTATTTATGACATGTCATTCTGAGGATGTTCAGATGAAACTGAGTTTAGCTTCTATGTTTCACAAATTTGTGTAATATCAATAAATTGTAGGCCTATATGGTAGGATAAGATGACTTTTCACTTGAAATAATGTGAACGATTGGTTTCTTCTTCACTTTCGTCCTTTTCTCAAATACTAAGAATTTTGAAAGTCTGTTGCAAGCTTTGAGCAAGGCATCATAATTCATAACCCATGTGTTACTGTGGTTTGTACAAGAGAGAAAGAAAAGCCTGTCTTCATTTTTTTTCAAAGACGTTAATGATAAATGTGGCACAAGTTCATGACCAGGTATTCCAATATGATGAGTTCTTGTGCAAACTGGGGTTTTTGTCTCCTGTGTTGATGATAAAGCTAAAACCTATTAAAATATTCGCTTGAAGTATTCTTCCTGTGTTCTTTTTATTTTTCAATACAATAGCACGAGGCCAGAAGTTTTAGTTGATTGGTAAGACCATTGGTCAAGGTGGAAATTAAATATTGTAAGAGAATAGCCAAAGAAATGCACGTGTTTGTATTGACAAATCAATTGCTTGCTGTCCCTGTCAGTTCAATTCCCATTGTTAGTAAGCAGCACTCCAAATTCCACCATGCTCCCCTTAAAACTTATATTTTATATTCTTAGTATACGGTGCCCCAGTTCAGCTGGCTCGGCTGTTTACTGTCGGAACAAAAAAATCTACCAAACCTCACCAAATTCATTGTATCTATCAATCAGCCTGCATGTTTACTACTTAGATCAATCATTTCTACTCCAGTGTTCTGTTTATTTCATGTAAAGCTTAAATAGGAGCTAGAAATAAAGAGAAGTTTGTGGTGACAAAATTGGCTGCGTACAAAGGAGGAAGAGCCCTCCGTATACTAGGAGTTAAGTAGGTCACCCTTACACTACAAAGAGTAGGCCTGCTCCCACATGTACAGTTGGCCTGGAGTAAAAAAAAATGTGCAAAATTCATCTCTTTTTAGCAACAACGGGCATGGTTATTGCATTGCTGCATTAGCTGCATGTACATCCACCCTTGTGCTCTCCTCACTGTTTCATTGAGGTATTTTTCAGGCCTATTATTGCGTGTTGATCAGCTCTACAAATATTGGTAAGTTAGATATCACAACCAGTACCATGCCATAAAAATTGCTGTGGCACATCTGACGATACGCATGAAAAACAACCCAATACAAATACAAACAACCATTGCATACTTGCTGAAGTCAGGGGTAAAAAAGCATTTCAACTCAAGTGTATAAATAAGTTGATCAACTGAACCATTTGACTTTAGCAAATGTAAAGAAGAAGAGTGCTGGAACCCAAGAAAAAGATCAACTAAAACAAGTTCAGCACAAACACTCAGTGTTGACTGTATTACCATACTTTGTATCCACTCATGTTCACCTACAATTAAGTTTATACCCCATTGAATTGGAGAAATGTAGGTTGCTTTATATAGTCAGAGCATGTTGTCCTGTTGAAACGCAGTAGTAAGAAAGAGGAATTAGAAATATTCCAGGAAGGAAAAGACATTAAATGCAATTCAGATCTCGATCAGGAAGTAGGCCCTACTTTTAGTTATCATCAATTATATTCTGATTCAGAGTGAAATATCTTTGTAACTGAAAATGGTGTACTTCCAGAAATGAGAGCCATCTGAACAAATGGGCATTGTACTACGACAACTTTGGAAGACAGGTGGGAGGGGAACAAGTGAGTTTAGTGAGAAATCTGCAAGAAATTTTCCTTTTTTTTTTCTTTTTTTTTTTTCATTACCGGTATAAATATATTATATAAATTAGTGTGGATGGTTGGAACTTATTGGACTGGAAGGCACTAATAGTGGTAGGTCCTCAGTCTTTTCTTTTGCTATGCTATTTTTGCCCGTCTTTCTTGTTTTTTCCCCAACACTTAATGACTATTATTGAGTTGGTCTGCTTCTCTTTAAAAAAACAAAAAAGCATACTGGTTAGTGGCAAAGTGCAGGGCAGATGGAATCTATCCCAGGTTACCTGTGCATTGTAATGTTGCCCAAAGGTCAGTTTTGAAGTGCAAATTAAATAGTACAATACATCATAATGTAGACACATACCCTGGTATCATGCGGTCAACTTCATTTCAAGGTTACTGTCAATATACCCCTCATCACTCCTCCTCCCCTCCCCCCCCCCCCCCCAGGTTTAAAAAATGTATGACTATGAGTACTATGACGATATGTAAATCATTAAATCATTGAATTGTCCAGTAACAAGTGACAGCTGTTAACAGTGCTAAACTGCTACACTTCTCTACATTAATTTGCATTTCTGTGTTTACCACAAGCCAACTTGTACACATGAAATTCATCAGTAACTTGTTTTTGATTTAGTATGGTTTTACTTTTACAGCACTTGCGAGACGAATAGGTCATAAAAGTGCAGAAGATTAGAATTAGGGGTGTTACAAGAGAGTAACAAATAAAAAAGAAGAGATTAAGGATGATAGATTTTGTACAGGAAAGGTGCAAACCACACCAGAGCACCTGCCAACTACCCACATCAATGACTTGAACAAAGGGTCAGTGTATGCACATCCACAGAATATGTTCACATCAGTTGTAATTTAAGTACCTCATGTCAGCACAATTTGACCCACATCACAAACAGGTTACAAGGAAGACAAAACAATGTAGTGTTGAAAAGAAGCAGTGAGGAGAGCTGACTACCTGTCCCCGTGGTTTTATGCACCCCACATAATTTAGCAAAATATGATCATTTTTTGCTTAATTTCTGATTATTTTCCTTTATCTTTATCATTCTTCGTTAAAATTAAGAGAATCGCATTATTTCACATTTTTGGGCTCAGTTTGCATAATTTCTTAATTTTTCTTGCATAAAACGACGGGGACAGAACTACATCAGAGGACTCTTTTTACCTCTCACTTTTAAAAAAAATTAAACAAAAGTAACCTTGTATACAAGTACCAGAAGTACCTGTTCATCCCATAAAACCAATATTACTGTACAAATGCTGCCCATCCATTATCGAATAAACGGCTGGTTTTCAAAATCTATTGCTTTGACCTAAATATACATAATTATGTGACCCATTTTCTGACAGGTATGATGTTTTACTTTTAAAGTTGTGTAAAGACAATGGCAAGCTCTGTCTGTGACCATCACAAAAACAAAATGCTTCTGAGCTGACTATGCTATGACTGGACGGCTCATAGTGACTATGACTATGAGCCATCCTCTATACAATTATGAATGGTTCTCAGGCTCAATCCATGAGGAGCAACAATTTGGCTCAGGTCAGAGTGCTCCATTAGCTCAGTTGGAAGGCTACGATGCTGCACAATGAAGCATATGACCCTGGTTCGAATCCCAGACTGGATGTTCCAGTACTTGGTCAGGTCATTTTTGGAGCTTTCAATTTTAAGGCTCTCAACCCATTTGGCTTGGTCCTATTGGATAGATGATTGTAAATTCAGGGACCCGCCTCTATTTATATAATATAATCTAATAGTTAATACATGTAGTGTTGCTATGGCATTAAACATATACTATACTTTACTTACATGTACTTATTTGGTTCATCGAAATCTGACATTGAATAGATTCTAATTCTTTTTTTTTTTAATCAACACTTGTGGGAAAAGCTTCAACAAGCTTCAACTTCGACTAAATCCCTACTTTTCTTCTTTTCATTAATACAATTATACATCAACACAATTTGTTTATGCTTCAACTCTCAAGGTAGGACCTCTGAATCAACATGTTTTTCTCTTATTAGTTATAATTATAATAAGAATGAGTAGAGAGTCTCGAGCAACCGAAGTGGCCACATCATAATGCAGGGTCTACCTTATAACATATATTTTATACTCGTGAAAAGAATCAAGGCCTTTCTGTGAAAAAGACATACATATTATATAAACAGCAAAGGAAACAGGAAGTCAATACAAAAAGAATAATAAATTCCACTTTTGCTTGTATTTTTAATCATTCTTGTGGGGAGACTTGACTTACAATGGTGTACTAGTACCAGAGCATATGATGGTATCAGTACAGAGACATTGATAAATACATACAATGCAATGGTCATGTAATGATATCAATAGTTTATCAATGTAACTTAATCCACACCATCACACTAATAATACATGTACAGTCCCCATTGCTGGTCACCACTGGGTTGTGTCCTGTTTTCGAACTAGGGTTATATCGTGTCTCGCTCAAAGGCATACCCCAGTACCCATCCATCTAAACGCCATGTCAAGGACAGATGCTTGACAATAGTGACATTATTATGAGCCTGAGCTCACTTAAGGGGAGACGTACACTCCCGGAAACATTTTCTAAACGAATGACTTTTTTTCACTATCATGTAATTGTGCAAGAAGTTCAGAGGTGAATAGATAGGATGTACTAAGGGTGAATTTGTTGAAATTTTCTGAAAAATGGGTCTCTGTAGTGGCCATCTTGGATTTTCAAACCAGTCTCTTAGTGCAGAAGAATTTCATAGTAAATATTGCATTATCCGCCTGAAATTTGGCACACAAGTACAAACATATATGAACTGGAGATCCATGTGAGGATTTTGACCTATCTTTAAAACTAAAAAAGTGAGCCCAAATTCATTGGACCCCAAAGAGTCAGTTGACGAAATTTTGGGGTACTTTTGGGATATATATTTAAATATATTACAAAAAATGTGAATATTTCCACAAGTTACCAATATTTCCCATATCCCTCATATAGATCCCCAGATTAGATTTTAAAGCATATATACGCCAAATTTGAAGCTTCTAGCTTCAGTAGTTTTTGAAAACTCCTTGCACCAAGGAGGTCAAATAAGTCAAAAAGTAGATTTGGAGAAAAACAGAAAAAACAGGGATTTTTAAAAGGATTTTCAGAGCAATTCGCACTTTCCAAATGCCCTTATAGATCATTTAGGGTGTTTTTTCAAGTTTCTAAATTGTGGCCCGATAAAACAGTAGATGTCAAAGGATGTTTTTCCGCAAAAAACAAAAGGTGGATAGTTTGAAAAATGTTATCGATATTGCCTGGGATCGCCGACCCAGGTCTTCCCTTAACACTAAGCCACTGGAGCCCCTTATAGTTGTAGCAGCATTTCGACAATAATTTATTCAACAATTTAATTTTCATGTGCTGACATAACACTTTACAGCACCTTTGTAGATCAATTATGTCAGAAAATAGTACATATACAATTTGTAGATCAAGTCAAAAACCTACAGATCAGCCATTCACAGCCTACTCCACCTGTGTTATTACAGCTCACTAGATTCATGAGCACATTTGGTTAAATACAGCACATGCCAGCTAGTTTGTCCCATGCAATACTGATGTGAAAGTAATTTTTACTAATTTAAAATTAACGTATTGATCAAATATTTGAATTAATTATCTAAGCAGGGTGTCATGTAACTGACCAATTCGTACATCTGATCAAATGTCTCACAGTCACAGCTGTAGCATAGCAAAGTCCAAAATAACTTCTGGGCTGAGAATGAGATGATATAATAATATAATATAATAATATGGTCGTTTCTAAGCACTAAGGGGGCTATCCCGAAAAAATACTGTTTTGAGAAAATCGAAGGTAAAGATTTTGCCCCTTGATCAGTTTCTTTAAAAGACAAGGACAGTTTTCTCTATAACCAAACAATTTTAATACATGTATAGTCAATGAAACCAAACTTCTCCAATAGTCAATAGGTAGGGCAATGCCCACTTTTGGTGTAGGTCAAGACTTCTGGAAACTCCCAAAATCTGGGTTAGCCCGCTTGTCCTTAAAAACGACCATATATATATATATATATATTATAATTCAGTAGACCTGTTCCAACGACCAGCTGCCCAAGACAATTACCTGTACAAATGAACACTTTCCATTCCCCCTTGCATTTTTCCTTATATAATGTAATCATGTCCAAATTAACCATCTGTCAAAGAAAAGGTGATCATTTTTCTCATTGACAAGGTCAGAATAAATTACTCTTGCATAGAGCTGGTACAAAATTGTACCTAGTACTAGATGTAGGGTCCACTACAATGAGTTCTGAAATTGAAAGGAGCAGGAGAGGTTACATGAGCATAATAGAATTATAATACACAATTAATGAACTTATTATCTGTGGCTGATTTTGTCATAGATAGGACACTTGACCAAATAATTTCATATCATACACAAGTGAGTGACAGGTAGACGCAAGCTCAAACATATGATTAGATTCAATTAAGCAACCAAGTCACCTACAGTTATACGATGATGCACGTCCAAACAAATAAGAGAAGAGGTAAACTTGCCTCTGTAACAAAAAGCAAATGGTTCGATTCCTGCACTTGGAAGATCTGAATTTGAGCCTATCTCCTATTGCTCAAGTTATCAGGAATTTCAGATCAAAGTTTTCCAACAGAAGAATACTCAATAGACTATACTTCATTGCTTTGACCACGGCACAACAGAGGCTAGACAGTAGACTGTAAACATGTATATGGCAAAAGCAGGTAAACACTGAAGAAAAGTTGGAAAACATTTAAATTAGGGATGCACTGTTTATGAGCCATTCTCAAAAGATATACGCAGTTTAGGAGCCTTTTTTTCTCCATTCAACACAAATGGAGAATAGTATAAAATCAGGCTCTTTCAATTTGGAGATTAACTATTTCAAATTTGCCTGTGTTTAGGCAAATAGCTAATCTAGAAAAAAAAAGAGCGGCAGAAAGTGATTATATAAAAAAGAGGGAGTAGCCTATTTGTCAGAGTTGAGGTTTTTGCCTCTCCTATACATGTAGTATTACTTTCAAAATACTACAAAAAAGTTAAAGCATCATTCCTCAAATGCTTAAGTCATTTTTGAAGTTTGGAGAGAATTAAAGAAAAAATGTTTGCCAAAATCAGAAACATGACTACTTTCTCACTTGTTACCTTTCAACTGAAAACAACGAAACAAAACCAAACTACCCGGTATATTGTAAGACACTTCTTGGTGTCCTTTTTTTTTCCAAATAACGGCTTTATCTGAAAAAATTGATTTGGGCGATTGAGGAATGACACTGACAATATATATGAGGTGCTGGTTTGGTAAAAAAGTCTATTGCAATCTTTCTGGTGTACTTGAAGGTCTACTACCAGATCTATATGTCAGACAACTGGTTTAGGTTTAGTTGATGGTCAACCAGTTTATACAGGCTGTGGACTTGTGACATGGATCAGTTTACGTTTTGCCCCTGCATTTATTTTATACAGGCTTGGGACTGTCATTGGCCGTATTAAAAAAGCTTTTGGTGGTTGTAGTTAGTCTAGAGAGTAAGCCGCCCCCCCCCCCCCCCCCCCTCTCCCATTTTTAAATAACCACATCTGGTCACTTGTCAAGGCTTACTTGTCAATCATAATCATTATCACTGCAAAATTCTTTGATCTAAACGACACTGCAAAATAAAGCAGTCCACCCATCAACACATCACAACCATAAATGACACCACCTTTCATCAGAATGCCCCCAGCGCTGTCATAACCGTGACTAGTTTATATTAATTAGGATGGACTTGTGCTACACTAGACTGCCTAGATTGCAGTAGACTGTGGTCGATTGAGTGGGATTTAGAATCAACAACCGTATTGTGGTAGACCATCAACTAAACCGGCACCCAGTATGAGTCTGGTACACTACCTTCAAAGAACTGAGGAACTATGAATGGAAACTGCTAATAATACTACTCATACCATGTACTTATACGGCAGTCGTTCAGATACAAGAGTACCAATGTTGTATTCTCAGTCATCAAACACTTTGGATTTCACAGTTTTAGTATCAATATGAAACTTCTTGCCTTCTGCAGGATCAGGTGCAAACCCTAATCCTGACCCTCTCCCAGGTCCTAATCTAAGATTTAAGGCACGATTGTAGTCTTCCTCTAGTGATTTGTTCAAAGTAGCAGCCGCAGAAGAAGACAGAGCTACATTGCTTCTCTGCTGGCTGACACTGGCTAAGGATCCAAACAGTCCCTTCTTCTCTTTAGGACCCTTCTGAGACGGAAACAGACCTTTTCCATTTGAATTTTCTGGGCTTTTCTTCATGCCACCTAAGAGTCTCAGAAATTTATTCTGTCTGTCCTTATTTTCAAAAAGGTCACCTTGCCACTGGCTTCGAACAGCTGCTGATGTATCACTTTCCGAAGTGTCTTTAGAATTTTCCCTTTCCTTCTCAACAAGGCTGATATTCTTTTCAAGACTTACAGGACTGTTAGCAACAAGTTCTTTTTTCTCAATATCTTCATTTTTCTCGGCCACATCATCACATTCATGGACCCGTTTCTTTTTACTCTTTTTGTGTTTCTTTTTTTCTGAGATATCTATATCATCAGCATCTACTTTGTTTACGTTCAGAGGATCTTTGCATTCCGTCACATCCATTTCTTTCTTTTTCTTTTTCACATCATTACAGTCAGGAACATCTTCATTTTCTCTCTTTCTGTTCTTTTTCTCTTTCTTTTTCATTTTCTCCTGCATACCATCCGATTCATCACAATCAGAAATATCTTCTTTTTCTCCCTTTCTCTTCTTTTTCTCTTTCTTTGTTTTCTCTTGTATACTATTCACATTATCACAACCAGAAACGTCTTCTTTTTCTCTCTTTCTCTTTTTTTTCTCTTTCTTCTTCATTTTCTCCTGCATACCATCCGACTGTGAGACAGATGTTTCTACTTTACATTCAGTGGCCAACATATTTTCACTACTCAGTGTCACCTGTTCATTATCTTCATCCTGTCTAATCTCTTTTGACTTTTTTTTTTTCTTCTTTGAGAGAATACAATGTTCCCCATTTTCTTCTGCTAAATCTTCTTTTTTCGTTTTCACAAAACATGCAGCGTCCTCATCCTCTACTTTTCTCTTCTTCTTTTTTTTGCGCTTTCGTTTCTCAGAATCATCCTCACAAGGCAAATCAAGGGTTTCTGGTACAACAGTTTTGTCTACAACCATATCCGTAGTGTCTTCTTGATGTTTTGTTTTCTTCTTTTTACGATGATGGGATGTTTTGCAAGGATCTCCTTCTGTGTCCACGATGCCTTTTCTGCCCTTATGCTTCTTTTTCTTGTGCTCCTTTGGTATAATTTCACCTGAAGGTGTGCCTTCCAAACTCATATCTCAAATGTTGATGGCGGCTGTATTTCAGTGTTGTAGAAGTGCAACTGAAAAAAAAAAGATAAGAATAGAAAAACAACTGATGACCATGTTAAATTGCAACTCAAACCCAGGGTTGGTGATTTTTTTTTTTTTAAATAAAAATATAAAAAATCGATTTTTTTTATTTAAATCAAATTTTTTTAAATTTAAATCGGATTTTTTTATTATTATTTTTTTTAAATGTTGACACAGTTTGGGATTTCTGGTGGCTAAAAGTAAGTTCTTTTAGTGCAAAATGCATTGTCTTTATTTTAACTAATGATTAATTTAAGCAACTGCAGTTTTAGAAAGCCTTAATCTGCTATATCAGTGAATTGTGGCTACAGACAAAAAAATGAAGAAAATGTCAGTCTAAAAGGAAGGGGGACGGGGGTAATTATGCATAGATAAACTTGCATTTTATTACAGTGTGTGTGTGTGTGCGCGCGCGATTGTGTTTGTCTAAAAAGAAAAAGAAAATGCAAATTTCAATTATGAAAAAAAAGTAAATTGAATACAGTATTATTTTACTACTTACAGTGAAAGGGGGGAAAGCAGACTTTTAAGCATGATTATTTTAGTCTACTAAACCTTATATCTGTTTTAAAAAACCAAGGAAAGGAATTCTGAATGTTTAAAGATGTAAAAACCGAATACATTTTTTTAAAGTGATTTAAGTCACTGAGTTTTATTTTTAAAATCAAGTTGATTAAAAAAAAATTTTAATCAACTGATTTAAATCGACCCAACCCTGGTTTTCAATTATGAAAAAAAAGTAAATTGAGTACTGTATTATTTTACAGTGACACTGTTTTATAAAACCAAGGAAAGGAATTCTGAATGTTTAAAGATGTAAAAACAGAATACATTTTTTTAAAAGTGATTTAAATCACTGAGTTTTATTTTTAAAATCAAGTTGATTAAAAAAAATTTTTTAATCAACTGATTTAAATCAACCCAACCCTGGTTTTTAATTATGAAAAAAAAGTAAATTGAGAACTGTATTATTTTACAATGACAGGTGGAAAGCAGACTTTTAAGCATGATTATATTAGTCTACGAAACCTTATATTAACTTATATTGTTTAATAAAACCAAGGAAAGGAATTCTGAATGTTTAAATATGTAAAAACTGAATACATTTTTTAAAAAGTGATTTAAATCACTGATTTTTATTTTAAAAATCAAGTTGATTCAAATATAAAAAAATCAACTGATTTAAATCAACCCAGCTCTGATTTCAATTATGGAAAAAAAAAGTAAATTGAATACTGTATTATTGTACAGTGAAAGGGGGGGGGGGGGAGCAGACTTTTAAGTATGAATATATTAGTCTACTAAACCTTATATCTGTTTTATGAGACCAAGGAAAGGAATTCTGAATGTTAAAATGTGTAAAAACTGAATAAAAATACATTTTTTAAAAAGTGATTTAAATCACTGATTTGTATTTTTAAAATCAAGTTGATTTAAATTTTAAAAATCAACTGATTTAAATCAACCCAACCCTGCTCAAACCTCTCAAATTTCAATTAGGAAGATCTACCAAATTGTACCAAAAAAATGGAAGGCATTGGTATACAAAAATCAGAGTAAAATACAATACATAATTATGACAAAATCTATAGCTTCAATAATAGCAAAGTTTATGGAAGTGTTGATTGGTATGTCTACAGGGTTTTTCTCTAAGGAAAAAAATCTATGTATCTCATCCACATGTGATTTTTTGTTTTTAAAAATCTGCTAAAGTGACAATTAGATACTGCAGTTGAACTTTAGGCCACGTTTCACGGGTTACTCATGCGGAAAGTGAAAAGAATCTTAAAATTTGCCTCATCATACATGTACAGTCAAACCTGTGTAAAGCGGCCACCCATTGTCAAGGAGAAAAGTGGCCGTACACATGTAATAGGTGGCCGCCTTAGACAGGACTGATCAAAATTAAGAAAGCAAACCATTTTCTTCTGAGGTCCAAACCGAGGCTGATCTCAAGCTTTGGACTGCCGTAAGGCGTGTTCAAAAGGGCTTTTGTTTTCTTTTGAAAAAGAGGGGTGGATGGTGTAAGTAAGGGTTTTTTGTTGCTGTTTTGTTGGTTTGTTTTTTGGTAAGCTTTTTTTTGTTGTTGATTTTGTGCAAGGGGTAAAATAAATGAAATATTACGTGAGACAAAGACCGAGTGCCACAGTAAAAAAACACACAGGTTGCCACCTTCCAGAGAACAAGCGAGGCTTCTGTTGCAATTTCACATCAACGTCCATTGTTATTGTTACGTTGTTACAGATTAGGTAAACAAAACAGTGACCAGTCACCTCACATATGATTTGTGCATGAGTTGTGGACGGGGCTTATAAGTTAAGATGAATCATACGTTTCTCTCATCAGAAGTTGAAAATGTATTGTTACCCATTGATCAATTTGCGTAAACATTCATTGGAGGGACCTAACAATAATGACAGGTGAATGGATAATAACAGCCCATCCACAGTGTGAGGGACCAATTCAAAATTTATGACAAAGAGTCCGGTGATGAGTGACCATGCCTGGCCGTCTGAGGCAGGTAAATAAATTTGACCGGAGGTTGATAAAATAAGGTGGCCGCGGCCACATGCATGAGTGTATCCTTTCAGGTCAACTCAACAGGACTTTCATGGTACACAACTTCTTATCAAATAGTCTACTCTAAAAGCATTTTATTGCAAATGAAAGCAGACGTAGAACATTGTCAGAGAGCTGGAAAAGAGGCGAAAGGAGAGAACTTTTGAGAAGAAAATTTTAATTCACAGTCAGATTACGAACGCAAAATCTATTGAATGAGAGGCGAACACTCTGTACCTATAGATCACGAGCACCCCCCCCCCCCCCCCCCCAATTTTAAAAACACAATAATATGTTATTACTAACTATACAATTAGGATGAAGGTAATATGTAGTGAGGAGTGCTGACAAAAAGAGCCACCTCTCAGATTTTAGCCTTAAGGACACAGATATGTATATTATAAAACATATATTAATATAAAGTTTAGGTGTGTGTACAATTTTTTATTATGAAAAGGTACATGACATGTTTAACTTGAAGAAAGAAAACGGCATCAGTTGAAATCTACAAATTTGATAAAAAATATAAAATATAAGCGTGTATTTTCAGCCGATATCTCCAGTCGTAGACTGCGAGAAGCAATTCATTTGTCAGCATGCCACACGAAGATATCTAGATATAGTCTATAAAAACAACACAGCAAACCTCGCTTTACCGACCGCCAACCTAGGGACGAGCATAAAGAAAGCCGATGTCGTCTTGTGGTAGATCTAGAATCTAGATCTAGATCTAGAAAAAATCTAGATCTAGATATATAGATCTAGATTAGAAAAGACTAGATCTAGAGACAAGACAAACTATGGTCAGTCTTGCCGCATCTAGTCTACAGCACCACTCTGTGTGTCTGTGCTATAGGAGGCCTACTGAGTGTTAGCACACCTGAGGCTGAGGGGGCTGAGAATTATAAATTATAGAATAATTATATAATAATAATAATAATAATAGCAAGACATAAATCTAGAATCAAGGCTATTCTCACCCCTGAGTGATCAAGGTCTAGAATCTGCAGGCTGTATTTCAATATTTTGTACACAAGTCTATATTTCGTCAACAACTACTGCACTTTCTTGCAAACGTAGCCTGGAATCTGGAAGCGAAAGCAGCGTGCTTACTTTCGTTTTCGTTTCCTTCCTTTCCTACTTTTAGCTTTAAGAATAGAAGAGCTCTCAATTTCAAAGATATTGCTGTCACCCCATAAAAGAGTTCTCAGTTTTCGCTTTCTAGAATATTGTTAGTGCGTATGTGTAATTCGAATTTCAACGTTTTCCCAGAGACAGAGAGAGATGGACAAGCTGGGTCCTGGGCTATCTCTCATTCTTAACTGGAAAGAAAAAACTTGCATTTTTAATAGATCTAGTTCTGTTTATTTTTATTTTTATTTTTTTTTACATCAATCACTTCTTCAGCCAAATGAGTGATAAAGTCTGATACACACAGAATTCTAAGGCTCCTGACTCTTTCTGCAACCTTTCTACTGTTACTCCTTGGCTCCTCCTTACTGCTGTCTTTCTGCCACACCCCTGATCTTCTGGTAGGAAAGATCTATACCTAGCCTTCTCGGACAAGGGCGAAAAATCTCGGAGGGCCCGTGTGCAAGTTGCGCACGACAAAGATCCCTTGGTGGTCTAAAATCGATAAGAGTAGGCTTCGACCGCCACACGGGCAAAATTCAAAATTTCCTACCAACTGAAAATATCAGGTGTGAACGATGCGCTCACATGACCTTATGCAGTTGCGAGCGCCGTAAAACACTTTACAAAAACAAACAAACAAACAGAATTCTAATTCTGTGGATATACGCCATTTCATTCGTCACTCAAGACACTGACAAGCATAATTAATCCCAAAGCTCATTATCCAGAAATATAGTACATGTTCCAGTAACTATTAATTTTTTTGAATATTTGGAAGTCTTCACTTTACTTTGTTTGATCATTTTTGGGTTATTAGCTTTTTTAAAATTGCTAAACGCACTAGCCTATATAGATCCTACTAGGCTGTGCGGTCAAAAATTCGTGGCGCAATTTAATTAATTATTGTCAAATAAATTATATCTCCTTAACCATGGAACATAATTATATATTATATTAACTCTCCAGCTTTTGCACAGCGATATGTTTCAATTTGTCTTAACAGATCAATATTTTTGTAATGCATCTGTTAGCTCTATAATTCTAGAAAAATCCTACTAATGACAAATCCCAGTGGGTGGTTTCTACTGATTTTAAAAGGTTTACAGCTGGGACAATATCGCTCTCAAAAGGATCTGTCATTTGTTTTTCGAATCGCCAGTCGCCAGATTTTCTTTAGACTACACATGTTTTGAGAAATTTCCGTGAAAAAAGTGTTCATTATAAAATTAATTTCTTGTATAACTACTTTTCTCATTAAAATAGCGGATCATAAGTGAGCTGGCACGTAAAAGCCATAATATGCGTATGCAAAAAGTATATGAGAAGCGGGAAGTGTTATGAACAATATAATAATGTACTGGCGAGCAAAAGAAAGTGGGCAGTTTGCAAATCGGTGCTGTATGAGTAGCCTAGTCTCGCGAATTTTGACTTGGCGATTGACATCATGCTGGGCTTGAGTCACTTTAGAAAGTCGGTCAGAACAGCATTTGTTTATTTTGTTGTTGTAAAAAGTGTTTACAACACGTTTGGCCAAAAACGTGTTTTCACGTTTTTTCTTGAAAGTTTACAATCCCTTTACTTTTATTCTTTTTTCGTTACACACTTCAACGTGCGTCAGAGAAAAGGCCATCAAAAGTTTTGGGTTTGTACTTTAATTTTCAATTTTGTTTTATACGATGTCTCGTCTTAGTGATGCGCAATGTCATGAAGCTCTTGGTATGCTGAGAGCTAATGCGACGGTTTCTGCTGTCACTATAGCTTTCAATGTGACGAGAGATACTATCCAAAAGCTAAGGATACGGTTCCAAGCAAGTTGTTCGATTGGTGACACTCCAAAGTCTGGTCGTCCTCGTGTCACTACTGCTATTGAAGACAATCGGATCAGAGTTCTACACTTGTGGGATCGGTTTTAAACAGCTTCTAAAACTGCCAGAGAATAGCCAGGGCATAGACCTAGACGGTCAGAGAGAACGTACAGGCATAGACCAATCAGCCGCTTCACCGTTCGTCGACGCTTGAAAGCCCACCACAGAATTCTACACTTAGAATCTTAGAATTCTGTGAAGCCCACGGAATCGTTGCCCGACCCCCAGCTCGACGCACTCGTCTCCCCCAAAGACACCATCATGCCAGACTCAACTGGGCACGTAATGCCCCGGCGATGGCTAAACCGCCAGTGGAACAGAGTGATGTTTTCTGACGAGTCCAGATTTCTTTTGGACCGCCTCGATGGAAGGCAGAAAGTCTACCAGAGACGTCATGAACGTCATTTACCCCTGTGTGTCAGTGCTGTTGCTGACAAACGAAGCATTATGGTATGGGAATCCATAATGAGTACTGATAAATTCGATCTAGTCGTTATCAACGGTAATCTGACTGCCCAGAGATACACCAATGATGTTCTCCATCCACACCTTCTGCCGTTTCTGGCTCGCCACAGGAACAATCTTGTGTTCTAGCAGGACAATGCAGCAGCACACTGTGCCTTTGTTACCAAGAGATTCTTACAACAAAAATGACGTACGTGTTATATCACCTTTGCCAGTATTATCCCCAGATTAAAACGTGATTGAGCACCTCTGGGACAAGATGGACAAGGAAATTTGCACCCTTCGGCCACCCCCAACGACAATCCCACAATTGCAGCAATCATTGATAGATGCTTGGAATAGTATTCCCCAGCAATTTATCCAACGACATGTGCAATCCATGAGGCGGAGAGGCACTGTAGTCATCAATGCTGGTGGGAGTTACACCCGTTACTAATTCCGGGATTTTGGACATTCGAGTCAGTGTTATTGATTTCTAATAAAAGGTGTGCGTTTGATCGTTTTTCTTAGTTGTTGTTTGTTTTGTTTTTTAGGTCAACATTTATTGAAAAAATTGCAAGCCTTTCGAAATTCATTAGCAATACGGAATTACTAAGGTAAAGAACGGAAATAGCGCACAGAACGTAGGGTGCCCACTTTCTTTTGCTCGTCAGTATATAATTTCATTTTCCGCGTAAATGAAATTTGTAGTATTTTATATAAATTAATGGGAAAAGTTTTAAAAAAAATCTAACCTCAGTTGTGGTGTAAAAATGTGATTAAGTTAAGACAAATTGATACAGACTAGTGTGCAAAGTATGGGTGGCATTCACCCGCTCAAGAGATCTTTGGGATAAGTTAATTTTGCGCCACACATTTTTGACCGCATTTTAATTTAATAAACTTCTGGATTCCACTTAATTTGCGAGTTCATAAAATATTATGGAACTCGACTTGCCCCGACAACCTCGGAGAAACAATAAAAAATCCTAACACCTATACTACGTCGTTTAGAAAGTGATTGCTTATTAAGACTCGTAAGTCTTTCACAGTTGGGAAGTTGACGAGTCTTGTTTTCATTCTGTCCTTATAGTGTATAAAATGATGCAGGACATAATATAACAGAGAAAAGAATAATTTATTACACATTAATGGAGTGTTGGGAAGAGCTGGAATTTAAGATATCAACACAACCATAAAAAGGAGAAAATGGAGATACATAATATTCTAAGAATGCATTATCCTTATATAGGACATCGTATTGGAAACATGGAAACAGAAAACGAGGAAGACCAACTGGAAGCTATAGAGGCACAATAAGGGATGAGGCAATCACAGGGCCTTGATTTGCCGAAATTGGAGGACGTGACCAGACAAGCGTGGCGTCGACTGCATGTCTAGTCTCCGCCTTATGCGCCCGACTGTATATGGGGAGAATAGTAAGTAAAGTATGAATAGACTACTTGAGTACCGTTCCGGAATATAATATAACATATTATGGGGCCTTGTCATCGTGCAATACCTTGGTTTGATAACGAAAGAAGAACCTAGGCGAGTATAGTCTTGTGCATTAAATCATTACCAGTCTTATTTTTGCTTGGAGCAGGCACGATCGGGAGATCGAGAGATCAAGAGGACCCCCCACACACACACGAGAGAGAGAGAGAGAGGGAGAGAGAGAGAGAGAGAGAGAGAGAGAGAGAGAGAGAGAGAGAGAGAGAGAGAGAGAGAGAGAGAGAGAGAGAGAGAGAGAGAGAGAGAGAGAGAGAGAGAGAGAGAGAGAGAGAGAAAGAAAGTAAAGTGTAAAAAAGCAACAAAAAAAAAAAAACGATCTTAAAAAAAACAAGAACAAATACACCCTGGCAACTCCCCCTCCCCCCCCCCCCTCTAGCGTATGACATTTCCTGTTGAAACGAGACGGAAAGTGGACAGCAGCCTAAAAAACCCATTATATAGGCTTACGTCAAGGAGTTTAGAACTTAACTACTGTAAACTCCTTGGTCTACATGAACTTTGATTCATTGAGAAATAAAAAGAAGAAGCAAAAGAAAAACAAACACGAAAAAAAGCTGGTTGGGACGTGCGAGACATCACAGCTATGCCGTGACCAGGATTCGAACCTGGGTTGTCGCGGCCACAACGCGAAGTACTAACCACTATACGATCACGGCCAGTACACCAGCTGCAGCGGAGGGCGTTTATTATGATTTTATTGTCAGCAAATTGTTTCTGTTTGTTTTGCGCCCCCCCCCCCACACTTTTTTCTCTTTTAAAAGAAAAACTAAGATAGATAACGGTAATCTTTCATTGCAATTGTACGCTGAGCCGAATCCATCCCATTTATGCAATCTCAGCATTCGATTTACGCCCCCGTTATTGAGTCTTCTCTAAAAATAGTCCGTGCCTCGCTCTCATTCCAAAAGCCGGAAGGTTTTGCTAGAGGGACCATCGATATATATAAGGGTGGATTGGTTCCATTGTCAACTGGGGAATATCGAGTGGCGCAAGCGGTATGGTGACGGAAGGCAGCAATTTCGAACCAGTAGGCCCACCGTTAATTTTTAATTGTTGATAACATCCATTTGTATGGTTCTATGAGCATTCTTGCACGAAGAGAGGTTATAATGTAAGAAACATTCTTTTAATTTATTGTATAGTGGATTGATCATCAATGTCCTTTAAATTTTCTGTTTATTCATTCTATAAATTTACGCGAGTAAAATGGCTAGCATTTAGATCCCCTTTCCATTTTCTACCATATACATACATTTATATATCTTTATACCTTCACCTACACATATCCTATATATATATATGTATGTGTGTGTGTATATATATATAAATAAATAATGTGTGTGTGTGTGTGTGTGTGTGTATGTGTGTGTGTGTGTGTGTGTGTGTGTGTGTGTGTGTGTGTGTGTGTGTGTGTGTGTGTGTGTGTGTGTGTGTTATAATGGGTCCTATTTGTATTCTCATAAGCAAATATGAAAAGATCAAACAAATTTGATTCTAGGATACAATATGGTGCACATATCATAATGTATGCCTGCAAGTATTTTCTAAAAAAGAGCTTATAATCTTGAAAATTAAAGACAATTGAAATCAATGATCAATTACTGCCAAAATGAAAGGCTATCATATAATTCTCAATCCTTCTATATGCGGCTGTGATTGTTGGACAATCAATTATAAAGGTTGTGAAAATAAAATAGAAGCAACAGTAATGTGGTTTCTTAATTAGACGACTGCTTAGAATTTCTTGGAAGGAAAAGAAAACTAAATGCGTGGCAGTTCTTGAAGAACTCCATAATATGTGGGCTGCTAGTTGATAAAACAGTCAGGAAATGCAGTTTTTGAGACACTTAAAATTTAGAGACATATAATGCCTTGAACTCCTATAACTCATATACTGGCAATTAAAAGCAAACGAGGCAGAGGTGGAAATAGAACCTCTTGTAGAGCCAAAACATGATATGCAGATGCGGGAGACGTAGCGAAAGATGATCAGGATAATACTTTTTTTCAGAGCATCAAACGAATGAATGGAGAACGATAAGGTCGCCAGTGTCTTACATTATATCTGGTAGGCCCATGCACCTAATGAGGGTAAAGGAATAGATAATCTTTCATTTCTAGTTAGTTATTAGATTATAGTTTTAATCTAAAGAGCCAAGGGAATACCGAAAAAGTGTCCTATCTAATCGTTTTAATCATTTGTGGCGCATCTTGCATTTCTCACTTATATACCGGGTAATGGTAATATTTTGACTACCGGAAAAAAAAAGTTTTAAAAATCCTATCCCAAACCAACGACCACCTCCTCAAAAAAAGCAACTTTTTCTATATCCGGGAGCTAAAATGGTGGTTATAGTCTTCAAAAGAAAATAGAATATTATATGAACCAATATCTCGCCCCCCCCCCCCTCCCTCGAAAAACAAACAAACAAAAAATACACCCTGTAAATAAATAAAATAAAATAAAATAAAATAAAATAATACTTTTAAAAATATACAATACGGTACGTTTTCTATAAGAGTCAAAAATGTCAAGTCTGGGTGTTAACTTTTGCTTTCAAAATAAGGCTATAATTGTAAGTACTAAGGCAGAAAAAAATGATTCTATCCTTAAATGAATTGGGTTTTGCTTTTTATAAAGCTTGTTTTTATATTGGTTAATTGACAATAAAACACAGTAAAATCATAGATAAGAGTAGTTTTTCCTTTGTCTCCGAGCTGATTGTGAAAGATAATACGAGTCCTTGAAACTTTCGAAAAGCGATAATTAAAAATCTTTGTACAGTAAGAGAGCGTCTTTCTGTTAACGCCTGGTGCTTCCGGTTTCTGGCTATACCTAAGTTTTATTTCCCTTTATTTTTACATCTAGTTTACCAAATTGTAGTCTTGGAGAAACTGGGGTCGATTTGAGTTCATATGGGAAAGTTCGATTGAAAGGGAAACTACTGTGAAAAGTTTGGTCCCTCCTAGTAGTCTCTCGTCTCTGCCTGCCTGCACTCTGCTGCTGAAGTTGTTGTGAAGTTCGCCCGTCTTGTTGTGTGAAAGTGTAAGTTGTTTCATCATCACATTTACAGGTCTTGTTGAATGCATTTGGCGTGGATCTAGATTCTAGTCTTTTTTTATGACGCTCCCAAAGTTATTTGGTATGTAATTCATGGAGAGCAAGGTGCATTTAGTTTGCAACTGAGAGAGATTTCAACCCTTTGACTTTGTGCTTGTTGTGGTGTGCTGTAGGCCTAACAAAAGCTGAAAGAATTGTTTACGGACAATGACAACAATATTGACGACCCTGTTCCCTCAGTTTCAGCAGGCTCGAGTAGCATGTGACATGTGATTCATGTGACTCCAGGTTCCTTTTAGATCTCCGTCCTGTTACCCCAAATTGATTAGTAGTAGGCCTAATAATTGAGACTTTTGTTGTGAATCATATTTTTTTAGATCTCACTCTAGAATCTAAATCTAGATTCAAGATATTTAAGTCTAGGCCTTTCTAGAATCTAGATCTAGATCTAGATCTAGTAGAATCTAGATATAGATCTAGATTCTATAACTAAAAAGCTGTCTCCCACATCCCAGCAGTGCACATGCAGGACAAGTTATGACCCAGTTTTCACTGTACAGTCGATTTCAAATTTGTCCAGCACGTAGGCTGTAGGAGTTTCAAGTTCAAATTTGAGTGAGAGTCTGAAATTTTTCCGTGATACCTAATTAGAAAAGTTAACATCTGTGCTGCCTTGTAATTATTGAGGCTACTACAGGGGGACCGAGTGCTATAGTGTTACGTATCGAAAAGTTTTCATGTTTTTCATCGGAAACAAGTGCATGCTACATATAAATATTCTCAACCACACTCATTAATTTATTATTCGTACAGCCATTTATTTCAAAATAAAGTACATTGTTACATTGTACAATATAAACCTGTACCTGTATAATCTAACCCCCCAGCTGTTCTTTGAGTCTTTGGTCACCACCACAGTTTAAAGTTTTAAAAGTTTGTTTCCCAATGTCTCACCCATCTCCATCCCCCAACCATACCCGTTGTCTTCTTGTTTTCATAGAGTGGACCTTTCCCTCTGTTTGCTTCTTCCTTTCCATCTCTCCACTAGACCCATCCATGCCATGTGTGCTGCTCATTTCCAAATGTGCAACATACACAAAAACACAAAGTCACAGCTGCTGCCCAGCTCACATTTAATGTGTCAGTTCAGTGCTTGTCACTGGTAATTTGATCCTGCCACAGAGCTCTGCATCCTTCAGGAAGGAGACACTTGATTGACAGATATAAAATTTATTAGGTTTTTTTTTTTCTTCTTTGAAAGAAAAAGTAATCGTACTAACAAACATCCTGATGGTTGATGAAGTTCAGTATTAGTAAAAATGCATTTTTGTTTGTGGACAGAATAAGGCCAAAATAATGGGTAACAACCTGTCAATGTTGTGTGGTCAACACTCTTTCCTTTGTTATTGGTTGGTTACCATATTTGAGATCACTGGTTGAATTAGTTGTGTCAGTACACTTATACTTATTTATTGTTGTTTTTCCAAGTTTGAAAATAATGGTTTTTGGAACAGTGTACCTGAAGTATGATTGTTGAGTGTAAACCGAGATACAGACCCTTTCAAAAACTATTTTTTTTAAGTTGGAGAAGAAAATGATGCTTTTATGCCCAGTTCAGTGCTCTCTACAATTGGATTTGTTGTATGTTTTCAAGTCAGTGTTTTCTAAAAGAATTGAAAAAATAAAACGATAGTAAATGTATTTGAGTGTTGACAAAGTTGCCTTCAAAGAATTTGCAATGGATTTTTATGAGAAATATTATGTTTATATTTGGTTGTTTAATTTACGATTATTGTTTGTCGTGAAAAATAAGACTCTTTTTTTGAAGAATGAATGACTAGAGTAGAATATAAAATGCATTTCATTTCTAAAGGTAAACATGACACACTTCAGATATTCCTGATTTTGATTGATGAGGGTACTTTATTTGAAAATATAATTTTAACAATATGACTGTATATTTTTAGAAAAAAGGTTTGAGCTCAAATGTGAGAGGGCACAAATTAATCCATAGGTGGTTGCAAGCATCAATATTAAAGTCAAAGGGTTGTTTCTTTAAAAGAGCAAAATACAGCACTAGATATCGCTTTGTTTTTTTATTTAACAAAAAAGAAATTACTGCATACATAAGCAAAACTCTCAGAATTGGCCTCAGATAGAGAAAGTGTCATTTATATTAATTATGGGTACAAGTTGAAGGGTTTACTTATGCTAGCGCATGTTTTTAAACTCGTTGATAAGATGTTTTGAACCCAGGGTTGGTGATTTTTTTGATTTTTTAAAATAAAAAGAAAAAAAATCGATTTTAAAAATTTAAATCAAGATTTTTTTTATTTAAATCGGATTTTTTTGATTTTTTTGATTTTTTTCAAAATGTCGACACAGTTTGGGATTTTTGGTTGCTAAAAGTATGTTCTTCTAGTACAAAATGCATTGTCTTTATTTTAACTAATGATTAATTTAAGCAACCGCAAAAGAAAGCCTTAATCTGATATATATATATATATATATATATATATATATATCTCTCTCTCAGTGAATTATGGCTACAGACAAAAAATTAAGAAAATGTCAGTCTAAAAGGAAGAGGGGGGGGGGGGGTATGCATAGATAAACTTGCATTTTATTACAGTGTGTGTGTGTGTGCGCACGCTTGTGTTTGTCTAAAAAGAAAAAGAAAATGTTAATTTCAATAATGAAAAAAAAAAGTCAATTGAATACATTTTACAGTGACAAGGGGGAAAGCAGACTTTTAAACATGATTATATTAGTCTACTAAACCTTATATCTGTTTAATAAAACCAAGGAAAGGAATTCTGAATGTTCAAATATGTAAAAACTGAATACATTTAAAAAAAAGTGATTTAAATCACTGATTTTTATGGAAAAAATCAAGTTGATTTAAATAAAAAAAATCAACTGATTTAAATCAACCCAACCCTGTTTGAACCGATATTGTCGCACACTAGTTGGACAGTACCCATCATTGAACTACTAGTTGTGTGTCTTTGAAATGCTAATATTGATGTTTTGATGTCTGATTTGCAGATCAAGTGTTAGTTCTGGGATAAAGAAAACTACATCATGGCTGACAGTGTGCTGAAAGTCAATATTGAGGAACCACGTTATGATCAGTCTTCATATGCAGGAAGGGCTAAACATTTTTTCATCACAACAAACCCACTCAATTTATTTGTCTCTGGCCAAGCTTTAGATGAAGCCAAAGATATCGTAGAGAAATACAGGTAGGCTGCTGTAAATCATGGTTTTCTGTAGATTATGACAAGACTGATGATGAGATAGTCATTTTAAAGCCACAATGTTTTTAAAAAAAGATTTTTTTGCTGTCCACAGACTGGGTGTTTTTATTTGAACATGGATTTGATCTTTTACTTTTTGGTAATTTGTTCTTTTTTAAATTGATTATCTTTTTTTTCTTGCCAGTTTTTATTATTTTAAGAGAGAATTAATTTGAAACTTGGGTATATTGTTAGTTGTAATAATAAAGTAAAGGTATTTGTGACATGTAAGGTGTTTATAGGTTGAACTATCTTATTCTTATCATTGTGGATTTCTGTCTAACATTTTAATTCCCAATTTTTCTCAGCCTATGAATTGTTCTCACTGATTTAAAGTATAATGTTACATTTTTCGAAATGAAAATTATTAAAAAGTCGCAACTCCCGTATTTTTTTTTTCTTGAAGTATAAATGCTATTCATCAGTAGGCACATACCCTGTTCGTTAACATTCTTGATGGAATTTGAAATGAAATGTAAATTTTTCTTTATGCAAGTGTGAGCTGTTTTTTATGTAGGTTTTATGTTTTAGAACCAGAAATTTTTTTGCTTTTTTGTGATAATGATTGAGATATCATGCACCTCTTTCCGATTGCATGACTATTTGCTAAAAAAAAGCTCCAAATAAAAAACCTAAGAGCACTTCGGAATGTGATGTGGGTAAACTTAACTTGATTTTTGCTTATTTGTGTGATGTTATAAAATAACACGTTTAATGCTCTATCACCACATGAAATTTTGCTGTTCACAGACAGTCGTGGTATCATTGAGTGTTATCGCCCATAATACTTCTGTCCATCACAGCTGTTCTACCATTGCCAGGCCTCAGTGATTTCTTTGAACAGTATGAACCACACTTTACTTTGTCAGCATAATTTCCATCCAATATAGTAGAATGATGGTAATTTTTTCAGTGTTGTGGGTGTACTCCAGCACAATCATTAGTTCTTGTGACCAGCGTTCTTGATTTGATAGATTAATGAATCAATGTATATCCTCTACTCTCCCATCAGTACCTAGTCCTCTTTGATGACAAGCAAATGTTTGTGAGTCTGTGGAGAAAAATTCAAATCTTTTAAAACGTTTGTGATCTATTAGAGGTCATAGTATAAGTGTGGTGAAATTCTGGGTCAATTTGTTAACGAAACAACAAATTAATATGATAAGAATTGTGAAGTGAAAATCTGAACCATGTCTTCATGACACTGTCATGTTTCAAAATGAGGGAGTCAAAAGCTAAGAAATAAATAGAAAATAATTGAATCAGAGCTGATTATTGATTTTCATTAAGTAAAATGTTTAAGGAAGTAATTTTTAGTCAACTGGGCAGGCTTAAGATAGACCCTGGTCCACTTTATTGAGCTGTAGCAGATGAATAGGATCAGTAATATGTTAAATATTGAAATATCAGCAGTGCCAAATCAATAACTTTGTGAAGTGTGGTGATACTCTTCAAATCCTCACTCCTCATGATAATACTTAAACTTTCTTTTAATTTCTCCTTCCCCTGGTACCGATGGGTATTGCAGGGAGAAACAATTTGTCGCCTCAGAACTATTTTGTCCAAAGTGTACTTAAGTAAAGAGGGCACTTTGGACAAAATGGTTCTGAGGCGATAAATTGTCTATCAGCTGCGAGTTGAGTGGCTCGGAGACAAAGAAGTCTGAATAAAAAAAGACTAAACCAGTGGTAGCTGTATGAAGTAACCATACTTTCTGAAAATTCTAAAATTGACATTAGTTTTATTAATTTAATGCAGGCATCACATTTTAGTGCTGTCCTATACTCGTAGTTGGCAAAGGTGTTAAAAGACCAATATCAATTTCTCATCTCATCTCTTAATGTTAATGTTTACTCCTTCAGGAAAGGGGAATCTATTCAGGGTTTAACCGAGGATAAACTATGGAGGGCAAAACAATTGTACGACTCTGCTTTTCATCCGGATACCAAGGAGAAAATGTTTTTAATTGGAAGGATGTCAGCGCAGGTGCCAATGAACATGACTATTACAGGATGCATGATGACCTTTTACAAGTAAGCAAACATTTTCTGTTTGATTGCCGTTTCAGTAATGATATAAGTCATATAGTTATAACCTGTTCTATAGCGTATTCCGTTGAAAAATGCAATTTGTTAAAGAAGTTTGTTCCTGTTTTTAAAATAAGTTTTAGTAGAATGCTAATGTTTCCTCCAAATATGAAAGCTTAACTAACTTTATATCTGTTCTTGCTGATTTTGAATAAAAGGAGAGTGATGTAGCTGTGGCAGGTATTCAAATTCAACTTTTCAGTTAGGATGCCAACTTTTTTATCTTTTTGAAGTCCAAAGTATATTGTCAGAATTACGCTAGATATAAGAAAATAAGTTTCGTTTTCTATGTCTAATATTCTCTGTTTCATGATCTTGGAAATTTGTTTGAAAGGTATCCCTACAATATTCAGTAAAAAGATAATAGATTCTGAGGATCTTCCATTCCCCATTTTCTCCAGGTGCATTTGAACTGAGGATTATTTGATTAATTAAGAGTTTTATTAACACTGCCTGGTTTTTACTGACGATTCAAATTTTTTTTTCAGGACAACACCAGCTGTTGTCTTTTGGCAATGGTTTAACCAAACCTTCAACGCTATTGTGAACTACACCAATCGTAGTGGAGATACCCCTGTATCACCTCAGTAAGTGAAGCTCATCATTCAAAAGGATAAAAGTAATCTCACCATACATGTTGGGTTTTGTTTCTCTATGAATAGTTATATTACTGATATTTGTACTTCTTAAATACACGTTTTGAACACTTTGGAAACTTTCTCTTTTGATCAATTGGTTACTCTCTTAAATTAACCATTTCATGAGTTGATTTTTTAAGCATGTAAAGGAATGAAATAGAATTTAGAATTTGAGAATTTATCTTATCAAATCAAGTCACCTTTGAAGGTGCTTAGTGGGTTTTTTTTAGAACTCACTTTTTATGCTACAGTAAAGGACTTTTAAGTTGTGTTCTTATGATTTACTTTGAGAAAAACAAGTTTGCGAAACTTATTGTGGACACTTACTCTCGGATGTAATTCTGTACACATTTTTAACAAATTGCTCCACTTGTGATATACCTTAGGCAGCTTGGAGTATCTTATGTGCTGGCCACAGGAGGAGCTGTCACCACAGCTCTCACACTGAATAATGCTGTGAAGGTAATGTGTACACAGATTTGTCTACTTTTTATTTGTAGCACTGTTGCATAGTTTTAGTCTTCCTGGTTTTGCATAAGGTCAGAGCTGGTTATTTTTTGTCTATCTCTGTAACAGCTGTGCTGTTTTTTGAAAACTTGCCCACTTTGACTTAGTTTGGAAGTGCTTTCTTTTTGTACTTACAAATTCCTTCATTGTCAAAATTGTGTCTGAAACCACTGATAACTTGTAAATTGACTTTGTTTCAGAAACTGCCCGCCTTGGTAGGGAGATTTGTACCTTTTGCTGCTGTTGCTTCTGCCAACTGCATCAATATTCCCTGCATGCGCAGCCGGTAAGCTTTAAGTATTCTACATTGCATACCTTACATAATCTTTATATCTTCCATTTGAATATTCCCTGACTATCCTGTGTTAGTCAGTGTGATCATATCGAGTTCCTTGTAGAAGGCACATCAAAAATATATTTCATTTGATAAATTTGATGACGGACCCTTCTTTTCATAAAAAAATATTACAATATCGTGACCTCAGTGCTTTCTTGTCGTATCTCCATTTTTTTAAACCTTGAAAATGTGACTTCTTTCAAAGCTCACTCTTTGTTATGAACTTTTTTCATTGTTAAAAAAAATGGAGATACGACAAGAGAGCACTGAGGTCACAATATGTTGTTCTGTTTACATGTTAATACCCAAAGTTGGCAGTTTTCCTGCATAAGACTGTACTTATATTATATTAAACATTAAATTGTGAAGTTAATTATGTTGGTGCCAAGGACAATAATATCTGATCTATAGTGTAGTAAATCTTTTGCAGTTGAGTGAGGCATGTGCAGTGTATGGTGGACAATATCAGTACTGAATTTACATAAACTTTGTGAGAAACAGTGGCCTGTTTGCTCAGTGCTGGTTATGCAGTGATAAAAAGTAAGGCATAATATACTACAACTGCAATTGTATTGTTGGTGTAATTGGGTTAGTGACACATGGGCTTTTGCCCTTTGATCTGATACCATAAAGAGATAATTGCAGTACTTTTTAAATTGTTGTGTGTTTCTTAGACTGTCTTTTCTGTGTCTAGTCTCTGAAGGAGAAGGATAGCTCTGATACTGATATGTTTTTGTCTGTGAGTGGAAGACATGATGGACTATTGTTTCTTATGGGGGGTGGGCTGCAATAGCATGCAGAAATTTTACAGACAACCGTAGAAAGTGTTTTACTTTTATTTGAAAAGGTGAGTGTGAAGCATAGTTCGTTCCTGAGTTGTTACAGCACTGCTGCGAAGCGTTCTGATCGTTGACTGGGGTTAGTTTGTTAAAATTCATGCAATCCACTTATGATATTACGAATGTGTGTGAGGAGGGAATGATCCACCATGACAGTATTAGATTTTAAAAAACTACAGATATTTACTCTTCACTTTTCTTTTTTCTTTCAGGGAATTAATGGAAGGTATACCAGTGTTTGACGAGAATGGCAACAGAGTTGGGGAGTCGACTAGGGCAGCTTCCAGTGCTATATCCCAGGTGGTTGTGTCAAGAATCATTATGGCCATGCCAGGAATGAGTAAGTTTAATTGAAAATGACAATGGTTTATCACATTCAACTCAGTATTACACATCCCAGAATGTTGTAAGGCAGAGTCCAAAGAGACCTTTCTCTGCTTAGATCCAGGGCCAGTATGGTTTTGCATAGTATCATGATTAACTTGTCTCTGGAAATTTAATAACATTTGGTGCTCAGGTCTGGCTGGCCTTTATTTTAAATAAGGATGTTGCAAAGCCTAGTTTTGTACCCATTGGGGAAGATGTTGGTTGTGCAGGGTTCGGCTTTTTACTGTTTCTTGCAAAAGATGGAGTTTGATTCCTGTATAGGAAAGTTTTAAAAAAATCAAATGACTCTGTTACTGCTATGATGTTGTTTCTTGCACAGCGTAAATTGAGCCAGCAGGTTGAATGGAAGCAGCCCACGTCTTAATTTGTTTTAAGTGTGATCGATGGGGTTGGGGGGGGGGGGTAGTTTCGCAGTCTGGTATTACTTGTCGGGCTTTCATATCGTAGAAGGTTCTAAGTTTTCTGATGGAATGTTCTAGGCTAGTCAGTCTGATTCATGTCATGAAGTTTTTTTTTTTTTAACTTTAGGGAAAGTTTAAAAGTTGTTAAATCACAAATTGAAACAAGAAAAAAAGGTGCATTTTTGTTTCAACCTCGGGGTATGCCCAAATTATTAAAATATTATAAAGAAGGTCTAAAGACGAAAATGCATAATTCCAAATCTTTAGGTTTATGAATAAAATACTATAAGGTGGCAAATTGACTAATTATTCATTTTCGAGAAAAACATTAAAAATGCAAAGCTGCCCAGTAGAATATTTTGGCAAACACCATAGTAAATACCTGTCAACTGTTTATAAAAACAATACTTGCTAATCCTGTGATATATTTCAACGCCTTTAGGAGCTCATGTAAGGCTTTTAGTTAAGGCATGTTAAACGTTCTTTTTCCTGTGCCTGCTTTGCAGTGATTCCTCCATTTATCATGAACTATCTGGACAAAAAGCCCTTCTTGCGAAGAATGCCGTGGCTGAATGCTCCAATTCAAGTGTCAATCATTGGAGTTTTGTGAGTATGAATTGAAATCCCCCATTTTAAAAATTACAAATGTGTACAATCATCTGGAACATTTTGATATTTTAATAAGAGATTTTCGAGCTCCCTCGGGATCCTTGGGTTCAGTCTCTCTTTTTTTCCTTTTGTTTATAGTTTTTGTTGTCATCCTATTTGAGACAATGATGTTAAAAAAACAACCCAACTCACTATTGAAATGCTTTAGTGTGCTTAGGAATGAAAACTTCAAATTTTTTAACAGTATTTGGGGTTGGGTAGTTTGCAGGCGCTCTGATGTGGTTTGTTCCTTCTTTCGTATCAAACATTTTAACTCTTTCTTTTCTGTTTTTGTTACTCTCTTGTAACACTTGTTGTCTTCAGCACTTATAGACCTACTTTTGTTGCTAGTGCCTTAAAACTTTAATAAAAACTAAAAGTAAAAGTATTTGGGTTTAGTTGCCAATTCAGGAAGGTTTATTTTGTAATATATTATCCAAACATTTGTGTGCTTTGTAGCTTCTTTCTGTGGTCAGAATTATTAATCATAAAAGAAGTTTGGTAAAACTTTGTATTTGAAAAAGCAGTCTGTGGGTGGTTGGTGGGTGCTCTGGTGTGGTTTGCTTCTTGTTTCCTATCAAACATCTATCGTCCTTATCTCTCCTCCTTCTTTTACTCTTGTAACACCTCTAGTCTTCAGCACTTATATGACCTTATTGTGTTGCAAGTGCTGTAAAACACTTACTAAAGCTAAAAAGCAGTCTGAAAAATTTTTCCTGCAGTCTAGATAAAATTGGAGTGTGGAAAGTTCATTGACCGTATTCTGTGTAGTATGTCCTATCTTTCTGTATAAAAAAGTTCCCCAAAAATCTGAGCATAAAATAGAAAAAAAAGAAGGAAATATTTCAGTTCTTTGCTTACATGCAATGCTTATCTCATGAGCATGCAGTTTGCTGACATTGGCATTCTTTGAACAAGTCAGGTTTCTTATTTATGTAAGTGTTACAACCCCTGTGGAAGGTCTTTTGGTCTTATCAGTTTTTGCCTCGACCACTTTTGCTGACCTCTGTCTTATCTGTAGGAGTCTCGTCTGTGCATGGTCCTCTTGTATCCTGGTGTTTAGGGGTCAGGTCTCTCTCACTCTCTCTCTCTCTCTCTCTCTCTCTCTCTCTCTCTCTCTCTCTCTCTCTCTCTCTCTCTCTGTGTGTCTCTCTTTCTCTCTTTCTCCTTCTCTACCTCTCTCTCCCTCTCTCTTTTCCTCCATCCCACCCTCTGTCTGTCTGTCTGTCTCTCTCTACTTCTCTCTGTGTCTCAATCTCTGTCTCTGTCTGTCTGTCTGTCTGTCTGTCTGTCTGTCTGTCTGTCTGTCTGTCTGTCTGTCTGTCTGTCTGTCTGTCTGTCTGTCTGTCTGTCTCTGTCTGTCCGTCCGTCCGTCCGTCCGTCCGTCTGTCTGTCTGTCTGTCTGTCTGTCTGTCTGTCTCTCTGTCTCTCTCTCTCTCTCTCTCTCTCTCTCTCTCTCTCTCTCTCTCTCTCTCTCTCTCTCTCTCTCTCTCTCTCTCTCTCTCTCTTTCTCTCTCTCATTCATATCATCATCCTCATTGCCTTTCTCACCCTTGATCAGTATATCGGCCACGAACACACACTTTCCGCCTTTCTCTACCCTGGGCGAGTCGCTTGATGTCACTCCATGTCTTCCCGCTTTTCTGTACATCCATTTCCGTGACTCCTCTCCTGGTTCCATGTGGTCTTCTCTTTGATTTTTAACCCATAGGACATCAAGGAGAGAATATTTTTCCTGATATCTTGTCTTCTGGAATGCTCTTCTTGGCATTATAAGGTTCAACAGATATAATTTCATGATTATTGAATGGTTGTACCCATAAAGATTGTCATGCTTGAAAGCAGACTGCAATTTAACTTATGATTGCTTTTTTGATCAACCCTGTTAGTATTAATTTCTAAAGAGCCATTTTTTCCAGTTCAAGTATATGAAAAACTCACTTTAACACGCCTACTTTGTTGTGCCTAGACAGTGCTCAGCCCAAGGTCAATACAGCTTTACTTTTCTTTCTTGTCCAAAGCAGCATTAATACGAAATCATGCAGAATCATTGTTTAACTACCTCTTTCTTTTTTTTGAGTTGCGTTCCTGGTCTAACAGCTAATCAGCTACTTACCCTTTTGAGCGCCTTGTCTGTAACAGTGCATGTTTTTTTTTTTTTTGGGGGGGGGGATATTTTTGGGGTAATGGATGGGTGGGGGGTGTATGGTATTTTTTTTTTAAGGTTTGCCGTACGAGATAGCTGTGAAGATGTGCAGTATTAAGAACATTACCTTTATGTTCAATAGGTATCCTTACTATGTGCAATGGATGTTGCTGCATTTAGTTTCTGCTTAGTCACTCTCAAGGATACTAAGTTTTCCTGTGAGCAATTTCTAGGTCAAGTCTCTGACCTTGAGATAAGAATCTGTCTACTTGATCTCTTATAGCAGTGCATGTATAACTGGTTGATAAAAACAGGACTGCTGGGCAAGCCTGCAGTAGAAGTTTTTAAGATAAAAAGTTTCTTAAAAGGAAATTAAAGAGTTTTAGAATTTTATTCTCCGGAAAAACAGGGGGTTGGGTCGGGGGGGGGGGAAGGAAGGGGAATAATTGGAGGGAAAATCCTCACCTTGTGTGGAAATAACCAAGCCGTACTCTATGAAAGGGTAACAAAACAAAATGCACAAAGTATAGAGCAAAATATAATTCTTGCAGTAAAGGAAAATTCGAGAACATTATTTGTAATGAGAGGTGGGTAAGTTTTTGAGGAGCAAAAATTACAGCTAAATATTTTATGCCAATGCTGTAAAAACCGGACCTAAGGTACCTAATCAGCTATATTGAAATGTGTTTGTCCTTTTGCAATTTTTCAAAAATTGAAAGATGTTGATATGATTTCTATTCTCTCAGTGCCCCTAGGTTGATTATAATCACTTCAAATTGTGAATGCTTTTGAACATTTATGCGAGACATAAGCATTAATTTTTCTGTGGTGTATCATGTGGTTCCTTTCCCTTCCTTTTCTTTACTCCATTCACTGGTCTAAAAACTATGCTTTGGTACAAAACATGATACATAAAATCAAGCCAAGATGTCATGTAACAGGTTTTGAGTCTTTTTTCAACAAAATGTATTCTGTTTTCTTTCAGCTTGGCCTTTGCAACTCCTCTATGCTGCGCACTCTTCCCCCAGAAGAGGTAAGAAAAATCCCCCAGCCCTTCTTTTATAGATACAGTCGAACCTGTGTAAGACAGCCACCCATTGTCAACGAGAAAAGTGGCTGTATAAGATAGGTGGCCGTCTTTGGCAGGATTGAACAAAAAGGATTGATCAAAATTAAGAAAACGAACCATTCCCTTCTGAGGTCCCAAGCAAAGGTAGCCGCATTGTTGTCGTTACTGATTTTGTGCAAGGGTGACTAAAAAAAGAAACGTGTGAGACGAGGACGAGTGACATGGTAAAACAAACACATGGGTCGCCACCACTCGGAGAACATGTGACGCTTCTGTCGCAAGTTCATTTTGATGTCCTTTGTTACTTTTTTGCAGACTGGGTAAACAGTGATCACTCATCTCACTTATGATTTGTGTATGAGTTCGGGGTGGGGTTTATTGGTTATGAGGGATCACACGCTTACTCACCAGCAGCTGAAAATTTGTTGTTAATGTTGGTCAACAGTGGGAGGGGCCCAGGCAACATGATTGGTTGAGGGACTACATAACAACAACGAAAGGTGATTGGATTATGATGGCTCGCCCAAAATGTCAGGGGCCAGTACATAATTTATGACAAAAACATTGGGCAATGACAGAGGTGGCACTCTAAGACAGGTGTTATTGTTTGGTGTGATAGGGATTGTGTGATAAAATAATATGGTGGCCGCGTTGGACAGGTGCCCGTTTTACACAGTTGAATTATATAGAAAAAACGCAAGGGAGGAAATGGAAAGTGGCTGTTTGAACAGGTGGTCATGTTATACAGGTGGCCGTCATGGCAGGTTTGACTGTATTTAAGGCTGGGACATTTGGCCTTGTGCGGCTGATTTCTGAACAAATAAGACTTGTTGATACTGAGAAATTGAAATCATGCTAATCTAATGCTATGTAGTTTTTTAAATCATGGTACTCAATGTTTAGAAAGGAGTGGGACTTAGTGGGTGGTTGGTGGGTGCTCTGGTGTGGTTTGCTTCTTCTTTTCTGTCAAACATCTATCGTCCTTATCTCCCCTTCTTCTTTTTTATATTTGTTACTCTCTTATAACACCTCTAATCTTCTGGCGGTCATATGACCTTATGCTGTTGCGATTGCTGTAAAACCTCTACCAAACTAAAAAAGGAGTGGGACTTACACTTATGATTGATTTTCATTTCCACGTCTGCTTAGAACTTTTTTAGTCTCCACTACTTTGCTAAAATAAAAGACAAAGGCACTTTGTTAATCCTATGACCGATTTCCTGCCCTATGTGTTAGAAAAAGATATGGCCGTTTTGGTGCTTGTGTAATTGAATTTGAAATAAATATCGATGAAGATAGTAATATTTTTCTCATTGGTTCATTTGCACTGTTCAAGCGGAGGGGTTATTATTACTTTATACATTTTATGAGAGAAAAATGCAATCTTTTGAAACAATTCGACTCTTCCTCAGTTCCATGTCTGTCGCTCGGCTGGAGTCTGGAGTACGAGAAAAGATTGAAGCTTTGCCAAATCCGCCTACAGTTGTTTACTTTAACAAGGGACTCTGAGCACATTCTGGATGGACTTAAGTGAACTAATGTGGAAATTACAATCTGCATCGTGGGTGTTTGTTTGTTTGTTTTTTTTGTTTTTTAGTGTGCCATTATTGTGAGTGTAATACTTTTCTTCTTTGTTAAAGAAAGAACTGAATAATCATATGTAGAAATGCACTAGAGCATAAGATGTCTCTAAAATGCACTTCTGTTTGTTGGTTATGAAATTGTTAATGTAGAGGATAAATAATGTCTTCCAGGGGTGAAGATTTATGACTTTGTTTTTGTGATAGATAGCAAATTTTAAATGTTGAATGTTTACATTGACGTGATGGGCTGTGTAGATGTCATTGCTCATGAATTTTGCAGAGCATTTTGTTGCTATAGACCTGGGGAGAAAGGTTAAGCATCATTAGAGTTGACAAGAGGTCTGCTTGTCTGTTTGGTCTAAATTAAATGTCAAATTTTACAAACTAAGACTACAACTGATTAAGACTGTAAGCTTTGACTGAAAGTTAACATAATAGAAAATAAAATGACATAACTGATCTGTTATTTGGATGGTGTGGCGCAAAAGTGTAAGGAATGTCCACCTCTTGACCCAATATATGCATATCAAGGGACCACCACTAGCTGCATGCGACATTTTCGTTGTCTGATATGAACCCCTCCCTCATTAGTGACTGAGATAATTTCTAATGACTGGGCAAAATGTTTTTTATTAGAACTATATGCTAAGCCTAATTGCTAAGCAATTTTCCGTGCTTTGGACTAATCAGGTTTTTTTAAGAGGGGTATATCCCCTCGGGTTAAAAAGAAAGAAAATGTGGGAAGTTTCAGGGGAGCTTGTCCCTCTGCTTGTCACCATAGTTTAACATTTTGCAATTAGGTTTGAAATTTTCTTGAAAATAATTGATTTGTGACAGTTTTAGTGGCCATATGTGTGATGTGCAGCCCAAAGCACAGCTGTTTGACCCCCTAATGCAGTGGATCTGTGTGTGAGAGTGAAGGTAAAAATTTACTGGTTGCCTTTGTTCCTAGTTACTTGTACGGGGGAAGACAAAGGAACAGCGGGACTGCATGCACAGACCACTAGTTTTGGTTGTTGGGCATTCTCTAAACTTATCGTTGTGGGGATGGAATTGTTGACTTTTTTGTGCATTAATAACATGCATACAAAATCTGAAAACTTTTGGAATCTCTTACCACTTTGTAATTGTTGTAAATGTTTGTTTTGTTTTGCTATACTCTTTTGAATAAGGTTTAATCTGGGAAATTAAGTGTACAATTCTTCAAAAGAATCAGCAATTCTGTCTTTTTAAGAACTGTTTGTATTAATGTAAACTGATATTATCTTGGTGACAACATGTCAACGTATTAATAGAATGGTCCCAAACGCTGTTAATTTAAATACAAGGGATACCACTTTTAACTTTGTACGCTGCTTCAGTTTTTGAGGGTTTTGAATACTCAAAATAGGAGGTGAAATTTATAAAGATTTATGTCAATGGAAACATTTACTTTTCTAACCTTTCTCAATATTGATGTTAAAAGAAGTGCAACAGATTATCTGAAAAAAGTCTTGTATGAACAATGCAATTGAGTTCTCAAAATCGTGATCCACCATATATTTTTTTAATGGTGTTATATACACCTATATACATACTGTGTTTTTTAAGGTGTACAAGAGAAAGAACCCCATTTTTCTATCATAGTTTCTTTTTCTTACTTTGTTGTTCTATGTTGAATAAAATATTATTCAGGATATTTTAGCAGCAGTCAAGCCCAGAGATTGACCAGAAAGAGTTTTTCATATATAGATAATGATATAAACACCTTTTATGAGATTTCCCTGAAGCTAAGCTCAGAGGTTGACCAGTTTCTCAAGAGGTAAATGCTCGTCTTTTGTGAAACTTTGCTGCAACCAAGCCCAGAGATTGATGACATAAAGTTTACTTTGGGGCTAATGCTCTTTTTTTTTTTTTTTTAGATTTCCCTGCAACTTAGCTCAGAGATTACCAGAAAGAGTTTTTCATGAGGTTAATGCTTGTCTTTTGAAATTTCTCTGTAACTCTGCCTAGCATGCCTAGAGATTGACCAGAAAGAGTATTTCGTGAGGTTTCTGCTCATCTTTCACGAGATTTCCCTGTTAACGCACTTATATTTGCCAATATTGCTCATGGATGGAAAGAAAAGAAGTTGCTGACCTGAGAATTTGGAAGGAAAAATTTGCTTTGTCAGTGTGTGGGTGGCAGAGATTATGTTTAGATTTGACTCTGAGATATTATATTTATCTTGGCTGTCTGTGTTTCAGTGTTTTGATGCTCACCAGTACTTGTTTTCATTTGCTGATGGAGTTTTGGCACAAGTTCACTTGCAGAATGTGGCTGGTCACTGTTCAAGGGTAGTTTTCCTAATGGTCCTGAGAACTGCTTTGTAATGCACTGAGGATCATTAGTTGCTTTATTTTTAGGGTATTGTGAAGAAAGAAATGGTATCAAATTGATCTTTGCATCCTCAGAGTTGACCTAGACTATACCCGGTATCAAGTTCTCTTTTCTATTTTCCAAAGTGGTCCTTGTACCATGGCTATGCCTGTGTCTGAGGTGATGAATGAGAGACTAAACTTGCCACAAGGGCTTACATTGCCTGCAAACTATCACTTGATTCACCTGCAGTTCTACAAATTGTAAAAGAAAATATATGGGAAAGAAGCATACGGGCTCATCATCCTTACACTCTTGAAGTCTCTCTGGGGAAGGGGGTACTGGGCTGTGCTCTGATGTGCAGAGACTAGCATGATGCATCACAGACCAACTCATGATGGAAACCATCAGAAGCTCTATTCTTGGTGTGCTTTTTCAGTTGGGATTGGGGGGGGGGGGGGGGGGGGACTGCAATGGACTCATCCTGACTGTTGATCCTTGGTCTTTGAACAAATAGTAAAATAGTCAAAACAACTTTTGAAGTTAACATTTACGGGTTTATGTTGTACTTGTGTATTTGTATGTGAAAGGTATGTGTAAGTAGTACTTTCCTGAAAAAGATGGGCTGCTAACACTCTTTTTAGTGGGATCCCCGGTGAATTTGCTGCTCAAATGTTACTAAGTCAGGTTGGATAAGTCATTCCATGTGTTTGAAAATGGATGGGTATTCTTTGCAAGAATGGCATTCCTTCTCACCTAGAACTTCTGGTAGTCTGAAACACACTGGACGCAACTTGGTTCTCCATGATTGTTCTTAGTTTTTAATGATATTTTTATATTTGAAATCACAACATGCTGTTTGATGGTTGTAGCGGTAACTGTTCTCATTAAAATGTGCTGAAAGGAAAATACCCAAAACATGCTTTCTATTATATTATTTGTGTTGGCATCTTTACCCATTTCATAAAAGTGTCATGAAGGCTTTCTTCACATCGCACTTAGTTGTGCATTTAACACTTTCCACCCATGCAGCGCGCACAATACTTGTCTTCACGGACCATGATGGAGATGCGGTACATAAGTGCTATACCTGTATCTTGGTAATAATATCCCTACCAATATATGAAATTTTCAGCATGTTAAGAAAATTGAATGTTCGCATGGTGACCAAAAAACAAATTAGAAACAGAGCTGAAAACATTAGATCTTGCACATTCATCGCCCGAATTCTCATCATGGCGTAAGTCTAAAGCGGCACTCATGCCAAGTCTATTTGACATTTTCCACAAAAAAATTTACTCCAGTTGCTGTAAACAAACTGATTTTTCACCTCAAAGTCCACACAAACCATTCAGAAAGGAAATTATAACTTTAACTAGTGTGAATGTCAAAAAGGAGATAATTGCTACAACAGTTTTGTTGCTCTATCACACCGTCACCGATCGGTGTCCTTTGGGGGGAAGTGTTATGTTAAGGGGATCTGGTGCCTGTTAGGTTTTCATGGGAGCAGATAGTGTACTTTTATGTCAGCCAATGAACAAGTCCAGTCAAAAGTCATGGTAACTGTTTGTCCATACATTGAAGAAGAGCTATTAGTATCACTCATCACTTCATAAAGGGGCTCACTGATTCATGTAAAATGCTGTCTTTTGTTATTCAGACGACATTCATTTAATTGAAATGTTAAGAGGGTTTGTAAACTAAATTTAAAGAAAAAAAACAACCTTAAATGCCTTCTGCTGCCCAGTGTTCGCTGTGCTTATGATTGTCCTGTGTTTGTTTACTAGATTCTGTGAATGTGGAGAGATGTAAACTTCCATTAGTAGATCTTGGGCTTTCAATGTTTTTGTAGTTATGGCATCAGGTGGCTCTTTGAGTGGTAAGTTTTTAAAGGTGTGTGAAAAGGTAAATGACTCTGGAGACCCCAGTCCATTTTACCTTTTATTTTTGCAATGACAACGATTTTACTTACCTTACATATAAAATAGTGTGATAAAGTTTGTTATGCTGTGAAAAGCTGAAATGTTTTTGTATATTTTAGTATTTGTTACAGTATTGTACGTGATCAACTGCATTATTACAGAGAATTTTTTAAAATTAGACTGATGTCAGTAGTGTAAAGTTTTTTCTCTTTTTATGGAAAATATGTACAATTTCAGTAGGAGGTAGTCTATTTTATTGTACTGTGTGTCTTTCTCTTTTCGCTGGAATGCTGTTTCCTCCTCAGTTTGGGTTGACGTAAAGTGACAGGGTCATAGTAGACTTCTCCTAAGTGGTCTAAATTGTATGAAATGGCTTGTAAAACATTTACAATAACCTGTTTTCTTATAGTAGGGCTTGTGGGTGAGTTATATTGTCATTTTGAAAGGTGATCTGGTTTTTCGTTTTGCTTCTTTATAGTATGCTTTTTGTATTTTTAAATCTGTAGATATGTGCCTCTTTTTTGGTGAGTGATATAATATAATATATTATACCACTGTTACAGCTTTCTGTGCTTTCTGTTCTTTTGGTACAGGGATGTCATGAGTTGAAAGGCTGAACAGAATATTGATACATATAGCTAGCTATACTATAAACCTCTTCAACAAAGTTAAATTACTTTAAGAAATATCAATTTTTGTTGAATGATAACTGTTTCTAGATGACATGCGCTGGTTGTTAAGTTTTTTTTCACCTCCCAAATGATGTAAATAATTTTACAATAGTCGGATGCGGACTTCATATTACTACTATATTTTCAAAATTGTTTTTCTTTTTGTGTATTCATAATTGTATAGCAAACGAACACTTGAGAAGATCTAACGCAGGCCTGTACATGATGCATAAAATTAATTGTAAACTTTCTTCACTTTGAATTTTGTTTTGGCGTTGCTTGTGATTTCTTTTAAAACAGTTTTCAGATTCAAAGTTGAGTGAATTCTTGAATGCTGTGGCTAGCTGGATGTCATTGCAAAGACAGTCTTGAATATGAGATATCTGTATAAAAGAGTTTTGAGTGTAGTCTTTGCCAGTACTCCATCTCTTTAATCTCCACAACGGTTTCTCTTGGGAATCTTGTTTAACTATAACTTAAACTATTGCCTCTCACAACTAGTTACCTCTTCCTAACTCTCAATTTTTGTCCATCTTTATCAACTTTATGTTTTGTTTTCACAAACTGGGTTTGAGTCTGTCTCATCATTCTTTTAACTTCCACACTTTTCAGTGTCAGACTTGGCTGTTAACTATAGCTAACTTTGAACCCCTTAACCCTTTTTGGACCCCAAATTATCAGTACTTGGAGAAAAGGTATAAAAAGACGCTAATGAGTTTATGCTTAAAATAGGGGCTTGTGGGCACTCAGCATTTGGTCTGTTACTGCTTGATTCAGAGTAACTGTCTTACACTTATATCCCTCAAATGAAACTCCATAGTCCATAGGATTCAAATTGGTTCATGTCTTTCATCCCTTTCCAGTGGTTTACATAGCTTCCTTTTGTTTGTCTCCTTAGTGCGTTTTTATTTTCATCCATTTTTCCCACTTGGCTTTGTCCTTTTGGAGATGGATGTTAAATTCGGAGGCATCAACTCCTAAATAACCTTACAGTATTGCAAGGGGTGTTAAACCTCTAAATTTCACGCTTTATTTTGAGTCCTGACCAGAGTCGAATAATTGTAGCTTAAAATCTGGTGGTTCTTAAGCAACAGAAGCTATCATACATCCCTTAAATGTAGCTCTAAAGTGCATATGGTTCAAACTGACTCTTGCCTTTTGTTCCCACCCAGTCATTTATGGAGCTTTCTTTCGTTAGTCCAAGTGGTGTGTAGCTGTCCTGGCCACTGTTGCTTGAAATCTGGTGGTAAAAAAAAATCAGTTTGCTGACAGCTTATGTTTCTGGACAGACTCTTGTACTTGTACTATATCTGCGTTTTTCTGTTCTTTTTCTGATATGTTGGTGTGTCCTGAATTTTGAAATTCTAGTTGCGTTCAGGAAGCAATCACTACAAATGTGGTGGTCAGTCATTTTGAAGAATGCTATGTTTAGGGAACAAATTTACAAGTTATGTAAGTTGACATGAGTTGGTTCGCAATAACAAGGACATGTGTTGGTCGATTATTCATACAAAGAATCAATTTGTGAGTAATCTATGCTGTTACCTCAATCTTGGTGACCAGTTTTTTTCCCTCCCCCTATAAGATAATATTCTATTTTGTTGGAGCTTTCAGTGATCTATTGTACATTTTTACACCTAAGTTCCTCATCTTATGCAATAACTTATATCCTGTTGTTTTGTTGTTATTCATCTCTCATTCCAGCTTTCTAGTTGTTGAATAGCACTAGATCTCAACTTGCATGTTAGTCAATAAATTTTATCTACTTTTTAAGCCTCCTCCACCAGTCGTCGCCTCCACCCTTTTATTTTGATCGCACTGATGGTGTTTTTTGTTAAGTTACTTTTATTGTGCTTTTACCTGTAGATGAACACATAGAAAAGTACTTCTGTTTTCTAAAGCTCAATGTACAAACCAAATAAGACACATGAAAATCAATGCCCGTGTAGACTGGGCAGAAATAATGTTGTATCTGAGTGCATAGAGGGCAAAATGTTGTGGAAAGTTTCCTTTTGACTTGGGGGGAGGGGGAGATTGGAAGTTTCAGGGAATAAATATAAAGCAATTTCTGCATGACAAGTTTCCTTTCTAACCATTGCTATCATGACTGCTTCTTTACACTTGTTATATTCTTGTTATAGGTTTCCTTCTCCTAGGTTCATCTCATATATCTCTTCCGGCTGAAGGTTCTTGCTCTATCCTTTGTCTGATTGACTCATTCCCGCTCTCAATGATAGTCCCAATGTTAGAAGTATGTTCCACCAAAGTCACACCCTGACATTTAAACAAGTTAATCTTTTGCGTTTCTTGGAGCTACATATGTTAGTTAATAATTTTTTTTACAAAGACTTTGTGTACCAAATTCATGCCTTTACTTGTGTGCTTGAAAACAAACAGTCAGCATGGGCTGAGAACACAGTGTTTGCTTGGTACATAAAAATCGTTTTAATTCTTTCAATTACGAAAGTGATTGTACAGATTTCTACAAGTTGTTTACAGAACTTGATTTTTTTATTTATGTCTTCTGAAAAGAAATAATATACAGAAAGAAAATAAGTTTCAAGACATAGACTTGTTGTTTGTGCAGTGTTGAAAGCTGCTCAGAAAATGGACAATAGCACCTTTTCACTGATTTTTCCTTTTTCCCTTATGTATATTCTTTGAAAGTTCAGCTTATTTTACCGATCCTACTAATAAATCACTTAAAAAATATAAGAACCCTTTGATATGCAAAGCACAAATACTTTCCATTTTTTAAAATGTACTTTTCTTGTTGAATTGACTTTCGACTTACTGAGATGTTGCAAGATATATAGAATAAAGGGAGATGAAATGATAATCTGTGTCATTGTTGAATGATAGACTAGTTTTAACCAGTGAGACAGCAATTGGTGTGGCATTCTGGGGTCATACTTTGTTCATGTCCCACCAGCCTTTTTCTGAGCCATGAAGTAAGGGGGCACGCAACTGTGGTCTGCTACTTTTCTTCCTTTATCAGGTTTATTGTTCCCTTGTTGAATTGTAGTTGGGTAGAAGGTACAGTAATTTCCGCCTAAATGCATGTCATACAAAGGCATTCTTTGTTCGAACGCACGCTTTCATTGATGGTTTTTTACTATATGATTTAGACACAAACACAGTCACCTCCCCTAAACGCACACTTCGATCTGCTGAATATGCCAACAGATAAAGCTTGACAGAGAGAAATCTTCGCAGTAACCTAGACAGTGTGCACCATGATGACAAAGTCACTTCTAGACAATTGGATATTTGAGTAGGCTGCTTCTCGAGTAGCACTATGAAAGTGATGGACAGCGTGTTCCCACTTTACAAATGCAAAGGACTGAATGAATGATATTATGTCTAGGGGTGACTAAGATTAAAATATCTTTTGATTGTTTCCTCGAAGTGCCTCTTTGAGAGGTTTCTCATTGGTGTTTGGGTTACTGTAATGTTTAGTTAGGCCTATGCTGTGCCACACGCATGAATGCTGTAGAACACATTGATAGGCCTCAAAGGTCAAGTGATCAGTTGTATTTGCGAAGAGCTTAAAACCTACTTGTTCAACACATCACTAAATAAACATCTCTCAGAATGTCCGATGTCATCTATGCATTTACCGAGTTGCAATAGAAGACAGTTATGCAGGAGCAGTTGCTTGGAAAGCCGAGTAGCTGAGCGTTCTTCCTTCTGTGACTATCAGTAGTATCAGTCCAACAGTTTTTAATCTGTTGCATACATAATATTTGGTCGCTTTTAAGCACAAGGTAAAGTTTTTGGACCCTTGTTCAGTTTCTTTAGAGATAAGGAGAATTTTCTCTCTATATATCCAAACAAATATACACACCAATGAAACCAAACTTCTCCTATAGGTAGGGCAATGCCAACTTCAGGTGTAGGTCAAGATTTCTGGAAATCCCCAAAATCTGGGTTAGCCCGCTTGTCCTTAAAAGCGACCATTTGTATACATTGGTTGATACAATCAGTCGGTTATATTGCTTTTTTTTTACTACTTATTCAATGTTTTTGTGGCCGCAGCTACAATTGAGAATCCTAAATAAATTTTTTTTTTTTTTTAAATTACAGTGAAAACGACCCCCATCCCCCATGGGAGGTAACAGTAATCACTAAAGTATAAAGGAATAGAGATGGTTGGATCCCTTTTCTCCGGTTCACGTAAACACACACTCCATGTGAACGTACGCAAAGGAGCCCTCCCAAGAGGAGTCAACTGTACTTTGTGAAGGTCCTACTTCTTTACTCTTCATCTGTGGTTTCTATTATTAGCCGTACATTTCACCAGCACTTATTATTGATGGTTACAGTGTTGACATGCACCTTTTTTTACTCAAACTAAACTAGAAGTTTATGGAAAGTTACTACATAGCATGAATGTTCCTTGACTTGAAAGACATTGAATTGAAGGAATGAACAGAGCAGAGGACATACATGCAAGGAGCCATGATAATGACCACTGACCACCATGCCCGACTCCCTGTCAGTGTAACCAGGCTTTCTTATTATACAATAGACTGTAGCAATCTGTACATGGGGAATTTCATTCACAAATGTCTGAAAAATGTAAAAGACAACAATTCCAACTTTGTAATAAGCAAATTTTATTGACAATTTGCGGTCTACAACAATAGCTGTACAGAATATTAAAACACTAAAAAGTGACAATAAGATCGCCCTACATGAGATGCAAAGTTACTGTCGCTAAGGTAAAGGATACTATATATATTTAATGCTGCACGGTGTGCAAAATCCCTGTAAGTAAAGAAACTGAGATAAGTGAATATTAATTCGTCACTAGGTAAATTAACAAATGAAAGTAAATTTGAAACTCATAAAACAACATTTGGTTTAACATTCTTTTCATCAAAAAACCGTCTCTCCATTTTTGAAGGAGATACCTGAGCCAGAGTTGAGAATTATACAAAGTGTTCAGTTGCATTTGAATACAACACCCTGTTAGACTAAGTTAGTCATCCCAAAGAAGTGAATGGCACTTGCCTTTCAATATCAGGGCAAATGGCTGAGCAGAAATCTTCCTAAAGAAACAAAACATTTCTAATCTCATTAAGACTCAAACCCCAATCTCATGCAAATCAACTAAATTTCTAATTCGGGATCATAGTGGTGTGAAAATACACTTTTATTGTTTATAGAATTTCAACTCTAGAACTCTGCAGTATGACTATGACAATACAAGAAACCATACTAGTATAATATTATTAAGTTTTCAACTTTAAAAAATAATGCAAGCTCTTTAAAAGTTATAATATAATGAGTATAAAAGGCAAGCTATGGTGCTTGGATTACGATGATTAAGAAGTTACTGGCAAAAATAAAGACCATTATATTTTGACTTTCAATCTCTTCAAATTAACAATCGGAGAAGAACCAGACGGACGGAATGAAGAAGGGGATATAGGGAGGGACAAAAAGAAACAAAAATATTGTTATAGTATATCACAGAAAATGCAAATATCGTCAACTTTGTTCTAAGCTTCAAGCATTTATGATCAAAGAGGCTGTACATGATTCATGACACAAATAAACATGAACTCCAAAAGAAGAAGAATCTTTATTTCTTTCACTAGATTTACAATTTACTTGGAGTAAGTTTGAGGATTTCCTGGAAAACTTTTAAAAGCTGATCTTATATTAACACGCCAGTTTTAGGGAAACTTCAGTTGAAAACATATATGATTCAGAAATCGATCAAATATGTATGGAACAAGACAATAAACTCAAAACAAGACTACCGTAGATAGAACTGCTGATAATGTTATATTCCAAGTTTTTAACTTTGCTAGAAACTGGCGACATTTCATCACTTCAGCCTTGACAAATAAATAGGAACATGATATCAGTGGCTAAACCATGGTCCAATTTTATTTCTGGGGCACTGACCTTTCATGTCTAGGACAGGACCAACTTTATTTGCCTCATCCTTTTTAAAAATTATAATAATCATATTGAGTGAGAAACAAAGATAAGCAAATTGTGTGAAGGATTACTCAAATGGCACAATCTTATCAGAATTTCTTGTCTATGAATATAAAGAGTTTCCTGTACTTTCTTTAAAGATTATTTTGTAGCTCATCACAGAAGTAACTTCACAGAAGACGGCAAATTGGTGGCTGAAGACACTGTAAGACTTTTGATCACTTAATGCAAAGTATGGGAATAAATAAATACTACCAGTTTATTGAACTGACAAGACAAGTGTGTACGGAGAATATGAAACATAATCCCTTTACAAAGCTACCATCTTTCCAATACAAGCCAGTGCTAGATAATCACAATACCTCTTTTATTCAACCACATACATATATAGGATACTTAACATTAAAGTGTACCAAACAGACATTGCTGCACTATTTCAACACAGAATTACTGGAGACTTTTAACGTTGTCTCATGACCAATTTCCTCAGCACATCTCTTTGCACTTTCTGAAAAAGAAATAGCAAACACAGCTTATTACATGTTTTCCCCCAAAGAAAGAAGAAAATAGTCCAAAAGTTCAGACAAATTGATTAAATAAAGTTTTTTTTCTTACAAAACATAAGATCAAATCATTTTAACATCTCAACTATATATCATATAATAGAACCAGTCTCTATCAGAATAGTATCTCTGAGGACTGAGAGGACTATTCTCCTCCTATGAAAGGGATTTCAAAGGGGTTTCTGATTTTCAGTATGTTATTTTTGCTGACACTGATCAGTTTTACAATAACATATATGGACATGAGTAAGTGGGTGGTTGGTGGGTGCACTAGTGTGGTTTGCTCCTTCTTTTCTATCATATATCTATTGTCTTTCTCTCCCTCTTTTTTGTGTTTGTTACTCTCTTGTAGCACCTCTAATCTTCGGCACTTACATGACTTTATGTTCCATCCAAGTGCTGTAAAATTCTATTAAAAAAAGGCACATGTTTCTGTCTGTGGGTCTTGCAGTGAGACACATTTCTGACGAAATGCATTATGAATATGTGCAGAAATGTTTGAAAAATTGCCTTCCAAAATCTATTGTTGGGCCAACGAATATGAAGGATTCTCTAAACTCTTTGGTCCACAGTGGAAGTTTGTCTGTATTTTCCTAATGGTTGATTATGATCAAGGATAATTATCCTTTATGTCATTGTTCCTTATGTTATGTACCAAACTGACATTGGTGTTGACTATCCTTTGCTTTATCTGTAGTTTAAGTTTACTTGAGCTTCTGATGTTCTTCAGCTTCAAGTGCATCATCTGTGCTTTTCTCTTTCTTGCACTAACCATTGCATCCACTCCTCTGTATCTCTCAAAAACACTTCCCATAAAAAAAGGAGCAAAATTCTTCCATCTTCAGTGCCATTCTTTATTTCCGTTTTCTTGTTCCCGCTGTACATTTTATGGCCCAAGTTCTTGGGATTACTGCCCAAGGCTTCATTTGTCCTGGCTTTGGACAGGACAATTGCATAAGGAAGCCTTCAGGCACAGTTGATTCAAATAACAAAAATCTTGAATATGGTTCATCTTTAAGTAGAGGGCCAAACATACATTTAAATCACAAGATCTTGCTGTAAACTGTATAAAAAGTTTATATTAATGAGCTATCGGATCATTAAAGGCCAGGTCACCTGTTCCTCAGTCCTACTTGGGGTGCTGCTGCTTATCACAACAGATGTTAACACTCCCCATGACTTTTCTCCAAGGTGGTACAGAAGACAAGTCATATAATCTTCACCCCCCCCCCCCCCCCAAATTAAAAAAAAAAAAAAAACCCCACAAAAAACAAATAAACCCCACACAACCGGCCTGCTTCAATCAATGGCTAACTGTGAACAGACGGCTATAACTACAAACATAAATAAAACTACTCACTTTGTTGAACAAACGTGCACGCAATCTGTTAAGCTTTTTCTCATCTGCCCTTTTGTCGCTTTCTTTCTTCTGAACAACCTCAGGTAATTTCTTGTACTTGCTGAAAAACAAAAGTTTTTACATTGTACATCATCTGTATCATTGTGATGCCATGAATTGACCCTCACAAAGAGAGGACAAATAGTTAGATCAAAGACAGAAACGGACAAAATCTAATCATGTTCACGACAGTGCAGATACTTTGTGAGTATACAAGGTGAATACATAACATTGAGTGTACCTGGACCCGAATGCGTAAAGGAAAAATCAGAACATTTCCACAAAATAAAAGCCAACTCAAAAGATACACTTTCATATTAACAGTGATGATTGGAAACGTTCTCCATTATCAGAGAATAAAACCCCAAGCAATGGAGGCAAAAAACCTCAAGAATAACTAAAAATAAATATGATCAATCAATTCTGGACTATGCTGCATGTTCATTAATATCATGCAGAGGGGAAATAAAGGTAAATATTGTCATTTTAAAATGAAAGTGCCACATTTCTCTGCATTTTACTTTAAAAAGTCAGGAAAACGCTTTCAATATTCAATCAAGTCACAATTATACTAGGACAGGATGCGTGTGGAGTGCAAATGTGAGGGAGAAAAAACATCAAAGAAGGTAATCACTTTCAGGAACATATATTGAGTTGAACCAGGGTTACAGATGGAGTGCACGGCATCATTTTTTGCCCGATTCCGTTACTTTTAGTTAGTGCGACTCAGCAGCGTGCTGGAGCTCTCCAGCTTGGAGTCACGGAGTTAATGAGACCTGAAACTGAAGCGACTTTGCCGACGTCAGTTAAAAACTTTGCATTTTTGTCTATGTTTGAAACGATATAACTTCTTCCCCATTCTTATAACCCAATTATGAGTAGTCATCCCTGTTATTCAGTTAATTTACAAAACCTAGACTAAGCATTTTAAGAAAAGAAAGGAATTCATGGAGTGTAACAGACACTATTCGCATATTACATTGTAGATGTATTCTGGCACTAAAATTGGTTTGCACTAAAATTGGTTTGCACTTTTTCAGAAAGGGACTTCTGTTAATTTTTATAAACTTTCAAAAAAATACTCTAATATTTACCATTTTATTAAACACATAAAGTTGTATTTTGAGTAATTACTTCAGAGCGAATTGTGTGCCAGATGGATAAAGTTGCAAAATTATAGCTTTCTATTATATGCGCAGATACCATTTTTTCTGAGTATCTGCACCAATGTTATGTCGTTCATGTACCAAAAGTTTGACAGTTTTTGTCATGCCGGGTTTTTTTTATTGATTTTTTTTTCCATTCACATTTGTCAACAATTTTTTACAATTTAGCATTGCGGAATTCAGACCGTCTAACGAAATAACCAGACAAGTTACGAAGTCCATTCTTCTTTGAGTCTCAAGAGCAGAAATGCGTGCTTTGGGTGCATTAAATGGTAATTACCATAAATACAAGGATACACCTAAAACTGCACGTTGAAAAGTACCAAAAATTAAGTCAGCCCAGACAAAGTGGCGACAGGGAGCTGACCCACGTGATAAGGCTCTCGGCAGGGACCCCCCCGCTGCAACTATTATTCCACAGTCGGTGCGCAGTGAGTGATGAATTATTCAGAATTTGAAAAATTGAGAAAATAACCTTTAAAACCATACCAAACATAGTGGGTCTGTTTTTAGACAGCAAACTATCAAAGCTTCCCAGCATCCAGAAATATTATTTTCTGAAGCATAGATTTACAAATACTCCTTGCAATTTTCAAATTTATAAAAAAATTGCTGAAAGAAATGAAAACAACACAGACTCAAATATATTTTGATGGCACCGTGAAAGACTCCCACAATCGCCAAACTGTATGGCATTTGTTGGAGTCTTGCAACCAGCCATCACTTTACAGTTTTCAGGCAGTACACACGTCAACTGCTGTGCATTTTCTTTGTGTTTTCCCTCACCACAACAGATTCAATACAACACATTGAAAATTTGTCATAAATGACTGATTCTATTTTAAAAAAAACCAACTATCACTTACTTTAATGTGATTTGTTTCATTTCTTGTTTTGTCAACACTCGTCTTTTGGGTTGGTACAAGTTGTCTGAGAAGATAAAAAACAAAATTGTGTGTCTATCTTTAATAATAGTATAAACTAATATAAAAAGTAACACAATCAAAGGCAAGATGAAACAAAGAGATGGTATACAAACTAAAAAAATCACAAACAGGTTTTAGAATTAAACAAAAAAATCCTGCAAAATTGTCATTCAGAACAACCTCACTACACAGATAAACAACTTGTAGATACTAAACATTTCCTCTGAGCTAATATTTTTCTGAAATTACTCTCTACTCAAGCAGCGCTGTCAACAAACAGATAATGATATCACCAAACATTTCAAGCAAAAATTTCAATGCTTTATTAATAATATAATCATTATTTCAATATCCAAAGAGAGTAACGGCTAAGGAAGAAGGACAGGCTCTTCATGACTTCAGACATTATCAAATGCTACGAGAAAAATGCTGTACACAAATTTCTTACTCCAGGGACCCTTAATTCTAAGTTTATCAAGGAATGCAAATAAAAAAGTATGAAAATAAATTAATTATTTCTGTCCTCTAAGGATCACTTTTCAAGTACTATGTTGATCAAAAGCTAGAAATTTTCCAGACATTTGCACTCACCACTATAGGGATGTGCATGAAGATTGGGTTCCATGAGGCGATCATTCTCTGAAAAAATGGCTTCTCGCTCCAATCTCAAGCATTCCTGCATCCTTCGGTTCTCATTCGAAAGAGCCAATCTCTTCTGACGCTCCTTGCAACTCGAAATGAATGTTTGATTACGGGCGAGAAATGCCTCCTGCAAAGTGAAAAAAAAGGGGTGATAATTTTGTTGACAAGGTAGGAAGGTGTATGGACACATGTCCATGCATGCATTTCTATGTTTGATGCTGTACTAACCACAAAAAAGTCATTCTGAAAAGGGGGGGGAAGACATTTGGTCAAGTGGTTGGCGAACAGAAAAAGGAAGAATGCTGAGACAAAACAACAGACTTTATTCCACTATTTGAGTGGTTGCACTTCCTATTGATCTGCAGAGGGTTTCTTCTACTTGCTGGCCAAAAACTAACTGGGGACGCGATTGATACCGGATGCAACCACAGTAAATATTAGTGAGGAGAACTTTATGAAACATACCCCCCCTCGCCCTGATAAAACTGCATGTAACAGAGGGCAGGATTCAACAATATAAGGAGATCTCTAGGGTACACATGCATACTTAACAGGCCATCACAATAGGCAAGTTTCAGTTCTCTGTGGCATAATACAGAGGAGGAAAAGAGCGGAACAAAGTGCATGCCTCATATTTTAACCTCAGTGAAAAGTCTCAATGTAAGGGCTCTGCCTTACCTGTAGGGTCATTTTTTCAATTGGCTTCTTCTCACGCCAGGTCTGTCCAGCTTCACTGGCAGTGTCACTTGCTGGCTTGTTGAGAATATACTGGACCCTGTCCATCAGAGGATCCACTTCCCAGTGGTTCGTCTTGCTGGCAAGAGCATCTCGACTAACCATTTCTGCCCACTGCTGCCGTGGGATTCCCGCAGGGTGGTCCCACTTATGCCAGATATCTGCCCCCTGCCGGTCAGCCCTTGGCTCAACATCTGTGTCTGTGTTTTCATCTGGCAGGCTCGGCCCATGGGACACTTCCGGCTGTCGGTTGCACTCTGTCAAGGGCATTCCATCTCGCACACGTTCTGCCTGCCTCTGTGGGCCAGTGGTGGGCTCCTTCCACTGACTGGGATGAGTGTTCATTGGAATGTGCCAGGCAACACCGCCACAGCTTGGTGTTTCTGAAATATGATACATTGGGTGTTACAGTAATGGAATAAGTAACAAACAAGCAAAAAAGAGATGCAAGAGTATAAAATACACTACATCCATATACTTCCCCTCGGGCCTGACATGGTAGCTACAGATTGGACAAAGGAGTTAGTCAATGGGACAAATGACTATATTATAATCACTTTAACATCCTAGGCAATAAATGAGAAAATAGTTTCAACTACAACAACTTAAAGCTTGCGAAGAGAAACACCACACTATAATCATTTGTGCATGACATCATAATCATTTATATTGACGTCTGCCTTTCGTATTGAACACCTCCTTCTTTTTTTCATCCTTCAATGGTCCATGTTCTACAGCACATTTGTTAAAATTAATGACACAATCTAAATTATACTACGGGAAAGGGAGACAACTAGAAATGGTGTTTACCAAGCTACATAAACAAATTTGAATATAAATCTTAATATTTGCTTTTTTACAAAGCAAGGTCAAATTCTCACCCTGTCTCCTTGGTCGTACATTCTCTGACCCTGTTCGCAGCTTAGCCACTCCAGCACGTCGATTTGATCTCTTCTCCTTCAAATTTTGAGAGGGAGACAAGGAACGGGGACGATGAGCAATTCCTCTTCCAGATGGACTTTTACTTTGACTATGGCGATTTGCTGGACTTCTGCTTTGATCATATCTCGAAGGAGAGAAGCTGCTGCCACGATTTTTCTGTCGACTCTGTTGAGCTGACCTGGGAGACTCTGGCACTGAAATCACAGGTCGTTCACGTGAATTTGGAGACCGGGAGTGGGAACCATAAGCAGCTGAGTTAGGACGTACCAAACCACGACTCTGCCTTGAGCTGCTACTGTGAGATCTTCCTTCCACTGAAGTTGCTCCAAACCTTTTCCCTGTGTTGTTCCCATCAGGAAACCTGCCTTGAATCTTCTCCCCTGGCAAAGATGAGCTCACAGAGGGAGACTGCTTCAGCTTGCCGTTGTGACGATAGACATTCCCATTGAAAGAGTCATCTCTAGAGTAAGGGGAATATAATCTGTGAAGCCTCTCATTGTGATTCATATTAGTATTTGGTACGTTTCTTGGGACAAATTCCTCATCCTGTGAAGAACCTCCCTGGGCAGAAGCCCTCTCCAGTGCCAGTCTGTAGGCCTCTTGGGGGCTGAGGAGACCTTCCGTCACCAGCTGCAACAACTTTATTTCTGACATCTGCCCATTTGCTTGTCTGCCACCAGACTTGAACTGGTTGTGTCTAGACTCCATATTGCTCCTATCCTTCGCGACTTTCAGCTGTTTTATCTCACGGAGTCTTTCTCTTTCAGCTGCTTTCATTTCTTTGATTCTTTTTTCCTTCTCCGCCTTCCATCGATGCATTTCTGCACTGCTGTCTTTGGCAGTAGTACTGTCATCAGAGAGAGCTGAGGAATTATGTCCATTATTGATATCTCTTGTGCCATCCTGGGAGTTGTCAGATACCGGTGAGGTAGACGAGATTTCTTCCAGCTGCATTTCCAGAGTTCCATCACTAATCTCTCCTTTTTGCTTGGCAGACAGAAGACTCTCCAGTTTCTTTAACTTGTCTATACGCTGGAGTTCTCTCAGTGTACTTTTGTCAATCTTCCCTTTTTGTTTGGAAATCCGATCTCTCAATTTTTTCATGTTGGGATCAATGATGTGCTGCTGACGATGAGGCTTAGCTTTCTGGGCCTTTGAGGGTGAATTTGATTTTGTCGGTGACTGCTCAAAGCTGGCATCTTCTGGAATAGAAAACAGACTGTCTGGGACATTTTCAGGATTCAGTGCATCTTGTGCACTTTCACCTCGGACTTTCCCTGTCTCTACTTGACCTTGAACTTTTCCCACCTCTCCAGATTTTCCTTTCTTCTTCTTTGTTGCTCTCCTTTTTTGCCTCTCCTCCTCCTTGCTGGCAAGTATTTGGGCATAGCTGCCGTTAAGATCATCTTCGCTGGAACTATGTCTAGACTGATGAAGCTTCTTCTGCTCTTGGAGCCTACGATCGCGATCTTGTTGTGCTCTCTCTTGTCTCTCCACACGGTACTGGTCGCGTTCCTTGAGGTACTGCTGCACCATGTGTTGGGTGGGGTTGCGCAGCAGGTCAGCAACAGCCTCCATCCTTGAGCTGTTCATGGAACTGTCGAATGACTCATTCACGGCCTTGAACTGCTCCCACAAAGCATTGATATCTGGCCGGACGTCTGGCTCATGGTTTTGGTGCAGCGCATGCCTCAGGAGTTGTGCCCTCTTACTGACGGGCTCCCTGTCCAAGTCAGTGTCCACCTCGCTCTCCGAGCTCATGCCCTCCAGAGTGAGCTCTACAAACCTGGAAGGAAACATGAAAATGTAGCATGAAAGACAGAACTACAATCATGATATTTACAAAGCATACATCTTTACTCGAATGTAAGCTTTAAGCATGTAACATATTATTACACAAGCCTTTTATTTTTTTGAGTGCCTGGCTAGATTAAATGGGTAGATGACTAATGGTTCTGGCAGGCTCACCAAGTAATCAGTAATAAATGTGTCTCAGCCAGGATACTTCTCCATCCATGGTTCCCAGATATCCAAATGAGTTTGATAACGGCAAGCATCAATTGATAATAAATCTGAGACAGAAGTATGGGAAATAGTTCTGACATGTAAAAGGAAATGAATTCCAGCTGGCAAAAATTTGTTCTTCTGCATGCTGACTTTGTGAGTCTCAAAACAATATTACGGCAAGGCCATCTCAATTGAAGAGAAGCTACACTGAGGCTGAATTATATCTTATTTAAGATAAACATAAATTAGAGAACAGGAAAAGGGTCTTAGTGAAATGTGTCACTTTACTTGGTTTGGTTAAAATAAAATGCAATGTCATAGTCATAGTGACAGGAAAAGTACAGTTATACATCATTTAGTTCTTAATGACTTTATAAAAGTGCACAACAATGTAATAAACAGTGTGCAATAACAAGCCTCACATATCTTCCAAATTCACAAAAATACAGCAAAACAGGTACCTTTTTGGAGAAGAAACAGCTGCCTTTTTCTGTCTGGATTGTCCCTGCTCTCTGTGACTCCGGTCTGGATCAGCCAAAATTCTAAGCGGGGGGGAAATAAACATGAAGAAAACACTCTTTTAAAAAATTGACCAATTTTGCCACCCACATACCTTTTCGATTGTAATTCTTTGAGCTTTAAGAAAGAAAAGTCTGTTATTTTCAAGCAAAAAAAGAGAAACCAGCATTTAGAGCAAGAATCAAGACTCACAGAAAACTTAATTACAGCAACATATAGACCCACAGGACAACTATTACAAAATATTAGTAATGGCTTGTCTATTTTAAAACAAGCATAAATGAGAAGAAAGATAACTGAGTAAAAACTTTTTCCCCCCCCCTCAAAAGCGTTCTACAAATTGGCCCCCTTGCAATTCATTGTAAAACAGATATAGTATGCCTTCTACATCACTTTGCATTACATTTCGACCACCACACCAACATAAGTGTCCATAAATATTCCATCATAATGCACTCACCTTCGACTTGGGCTCGGTGATGACTGCCTCACTGCGACATCATCTCGTACTCTCAAGATCGGAGAATGAGCACGGTCTTCATGGCTCCTAGAGCGTAAACTCGGAGGGCTACTAGGTCTGGCAAACAGGTTTTCTGTTCTGTGCAGTCGTGGGGATGAACTACGATCTCGGGCCAGAAATGTTGGAGGAGGAGACAGACTCCTAGCCAAGTCACGTTCTCTCATTGGGCGATGCTCAGGGTAGTACGAAGGAGGTTGGGCAAGGGAATCCTTCAGATCTCGGCTCAATAGTGGAGACCTACCCTCTATTGCATTTCTCAGATCAGGTGAAAGTGCACGTCTGAAGGCAGGGGACAAACGAGCTTGTCGAACGGGGGAGTACAAGTTATCATCAGAATGAGATCGAGGTCGAACCTGGGTCAGTTGTTCTGGAGAGTACCTATGTGGAGAAGGAGACCTACGTCTTGGTAGAGAAGAATATTGACCCACTTCATCATTGTCAAATCGACTTCTACGGTCCGATCCAAGAAAAGGTCTGCTACTTGCCGCAGTGGGCAGAAAGTCTTCAGGTATCCTCGACTGTTTCATTGTTGTTGGCTCTGCCCATCTCTGTCTGTCATATGCGTTTGACTCATTTGTGTCTTCATACTTCATCTGAATCCTCAGGGACAGTGGCTCCGATGGCTGATCATCTACTTCCTGTAACGGGGACTCCCGGCTGCTGATAAATGCATCAGAGGGAAGAGTATACGGCTCTCTTAATCCAATGTATTTGAAGTCCGAATCAGGACTTTGATCTTTTGTTCTGTCTGGTACTCTGAACTCTCCCCTTGTATGATCTTGTCCACCAAAAGACTGGCCTCCATTACCCACACCATGACTGGGGTTTGACCCACTGCGCTGTCTCTCCTCTTCTCTATTCTCCCATCGGGCATTTCTCCTTGCAGCCTCAACAGAAGGTGATGGACCACTCTTTGGCTCTCTGATTTCTGTATGCACGTTGATGGAGATCCCATCATCTTTATCAGTTCTTGGTTTGGAAGTCTTCTGTGCAGCACTGTATTCTTTGTCACGCCCCCTGTCACTAGAAGTTTCAGGTCTGGAAGAGATTCCCTGACTCCGTGGTCCGTTCCCAGGAACAGTAGCAGATCTAGCTTCAGAGCTTCTGTCCCCTTTCCAGGAAGGAGATTCCTGCTCTCGCTCATCCTGCATGAATAAGAGAAACAAATAAACATCCATGATGCATTAGGTTAAAAACAATAAATTTACTCAACTCCTCAGTAGCATAACACAATATATATTGCTATAAGGAACAACACATAAAAATCAAACGTCTATAATGTTGCATATTAAAAAATCATGTTATGATTCACAACCATACAAGCCGAATTCATTTAGATACAGAATGCTTAAGCCAAAAATATCTACATTATCTGATCAGTTTGGTTTTTAACTTATCAAATTTATAAACCACAAAAACTTTTCATGATCTCACCTATGACAGAAAAAGTGAACCAAAAAAACCCAACCATTAGTAGATGTAACAAGAAACTAATCAAAAGAGGTCAGGAAAAAAAAAGAAAAGAAAATACAGCAGCACAGCATTCCGAGAAACTTAAATATAAACAGCAATCATATATAGCATTTTTCAGGACTCTAGTTCTTTAATGAATAGGAACAAAGACAATATAAAGAAACAAGACTTACAATTCCAGATTTTTCCTGGATGGTAGGAAGTTCAGAATTTTCTTGTACTGTAGAGAGAGGTTTTTTAGCACCATAAATACCAGCTACGTTTGGCGCATCTCTCCGACTTCCCAACACATTTGATGGTAGGCTGGGACCTCTTGCATCATCAGAACCTGAGGAAAAATACAGTCAAGCTGTTAGAACCTGTACAAATAAAAACTAAATTTTGAAAAACATAAGATTTACACCAATGTGGAAAAAATAATAATTTCTAAGCTGGATTTTAAAATTCAACCCACTCACCAATAAAGGTTTTTAGATATAAAAAAACTCGTTGAGACATTAAATGCAGCTTCATTGAGTACAAAACATTTAATCTGTATGTTGCAGTGTTTTGAAAAATTAGCAAAGAACTGCTGTCAAACAAAACCTGCCTTTTATGAGACACCAAGCCTACTACATATAATACACATTTTAAAAAAATAAAAAAAATACACAGCCTTCAATTAAAAGTATTTACACATACTTTTAATGTCAGTATATTTCTTTCCTGAACGTAAGTTTGAAAAGTAAGAAAACAAGGAAGCTTCAAAGTAAGACAAGAAATGCCACATGATATGATAACAAGACCAATGCAACCTGGTGCACACTATGGTGACTCAAGCCTTTATGAAGCAACGTTCAGATGTGTACAACATTTTGAGAGATGTATTTTATAAGAGACTACAATCATGTATGATACAATAGCTATCAAAGATTCAAAAAACAATTCTGCATTAGGATTGCTCATTTACCAATGTGTGTGCTCTCCATGGTAGTGACACTGTCTGTCACTGAGGCTGTGTCACTCTCTGTGTAGTATACTTCCTTGGACCCAGCAGGACTGAAATAAAAGAAACAGAGAAATAGAAAACTAATACAGTCGAACCTGTGTCAAGGAGAAAAGTGGCCGTATAAGACAGGTGGCCGTCTTAGGCAGGACTGGTCAAGATGAAGAAAACAAAACATTCCTATCTGAGAAAACAAACCCTTCCTTTCTGAGGTCTCAATTGAAGGTAGTTGCATTGTTGTTGTTATTTTTGTTGTTGTTGTTTTCGCTGGGTTTTTTTTTCTATTGTTGCTGCTTTTGTCACGGGTGACAATAACAGGAAATGTGTCAGACGAGAAAGACCAAGTGCTATGGTAAAACAAACACATGGGTCGCCACCACACGGAGAAGAGCGACGCTTCTGTCACAAGTTCATGTTGACGTCCTTTGTTACTTTGTTACAGACTGGGTAAACAGTGATCACTCATCTCACTTACGATTTGTGTATGGGTTCTGGGCAGGGCTTATGGGTTATGAGGGATCACACGCTTCCCTCCCCAGCAGCTGAAAATTAATTTTGTTACCTATTGGTCAACAGTGGGAGGGGCCTACGCAACATGATCAGTTGGAGGGACTACCTAACAACGACAGGTTTTTAGATTATGACGGCTCGCCCACAACGTCAGGGGCCAATGCTTGATTTATGACAAAGCGTAATGGAGTCACTAAGGTGGCCGTCTAAGACAGGTGTTATTGCTTAGTGTGATAGGAGTTGTGTGTTGAAATATGGTGGCCGTGGCCGCGTTGGACAGGTGCCCGTTTTACACAGTTAAATTATATAGAAAAAACGCAAGGGGGGAAATGGAAAGTGTCCGTTTGTACAGGTGGCCGTCTTATAGAGGTGGCCGTCAGGGCAGGTTTGACTGTATTTATCATAGTTAAAACTTTGGTTTTTTCACAATGAAACTTTTTATCACTTTATGTTCACATTTATAGAAAATGAACGTAAGAGCATGAAGGGAAAAACATAAACCATTCCTCATTTCAACAATGTGCCACACACGTAGAAAAAAAAGAGTGAAACTGCATGTCATACCACCATCTGTACACATTAATAGCAATAGACCTGCCTTATGTCCAGAAGCTGACATTGTAAACATCCCTTTACTAGCAATGTTCATGCAGTATTAAAGTGTTTCTTGAACTGTCAACACTAACAAAAATGAGAAACTAAGCACAAGCCTGACATGCCTTGACAAAAAAATAAATTTATTCCCAGGTTTTATCTTAACCAAGCATTCTTGCACCCCCCCCCCCCCCCCCCCCCCAAAAAAAAAAAGGATTCTATCACCAAAGAATACTAGGAACAAAAAAGAGGGTAAGGATCAGGTCAAAACAGCACATTAATTTTGGACTATTCATAGTCATAGAAAATGTTACCTACCGATAGGGCCTGTACTTTTCCCTTGTTAGGTGGCCAGCCCCTGAGTCTGAGTCATTGGGAGATTGGTTGCTGTTGTTGCCTTGGTCTGGATCTAGTACACAAATAAATATTGAACAATCCAATGGGAAAACAAAAGTACTGAAAGATAGGTCTAGATCACTAAATCAAAAGAAAATCAAGACTGGCTTGACTATTTTCTGAAAAGGACTACGAGACCATTTCAGTTTGTGAAAAAAGAAACAGAAACCATCAAAATTGTACAATTACTAAAATTACCTTTTCATTAAAAGATGAGTCATCGTCAACACTACAGATTACAATGACATTTAGCAGACAAGTGACAAAAGTGTTATACAATCATCCAAAAGTTAGAAATGTAACATGCTTACATTGCATTTTTGCAACCTTCACTGAATGGCAAATCACATTTGAGAATAGTCTTTGTGGAGGTCAAAGAACAACAGCTATGCACACACCAACCATTCCAAATTTAAGAAAATTTTCTAGGAGTGCTCTCTATACATGTATGGATTTTCATACAGTTGTAAAGTCCCTTGAGAAATATTCCCCTCTAATACTGCCATTACCTGAATACAGATCCTTCAACTGAGTGCTCGACTCTACTCTGTCCTCAGCTTGAAGTGGACTCCTCGGCCTAGAAGCATAAGCCAAAGTAATAGCTGTAATTATTTTAAGAGAAACAAGCGTTTTTTTGGACATGATACAAAGGCATGCATGTGAGTAAAGTTCAACAGGTGTACATTTTATGGATTAATTGCAAAGCTTAGAATAATGTACCAAATGATTTCCGAGAAGAAATTACTTGTCTCGCTATCAAACTACCATCACTGGCCCAGTCTCGCAGCCAGTAAGAACTCTGCACTACTCATTAATTTCATCAATGATCCAAATGTCACTTTTGATGCAGCATCATTAATATCAAGGACCTTTAATAGAGACCAAAACATCAGCATACCTGCCAACAATGCTTGTTGCTTCTGTGTCTCCCTCAGGAGATGTAGCTACTTGCTCCTCTGTGGGTTTATCATTGTCCTTGTTACCCCGGTCTTCATCCCTAAACAAAGGGTAACATTGAATGGTCTGAGGTGGAACTTGCAACTCGAGGCTATGATTGAATGTTCTCTCAGATACTTTTGCCATCTGGGAGGACAAAAATTTTGTCATGTCCTCAAATGCTGTGAAGCCCTTCACAGGAGGCATGGCGAAAGAGGACTTTTCAAACACTCGACTTGAGTCTACAGAACTCAGGCCAGACAGGTCAAGTCGTTTGCGCACATCGTCTGGGAAAGTCACAGTGTGGTTGCTATCGTCTAGATTGCCAGAGCCAGAAACAAAGTTAAAATCATTTTTCTGTAAGCCAAGTGCATACCTTGTTTTCATATTTTTTTCCTCTGCACTAACATCAGACAAAATACCACGAGCCTGAGAATTTGGGTCCTGATTTGTCAAAATACGATAAACTTTGTCAGCCAACCCTTGGTTGTTCAACTGTTCATATCGAGACTCTAGTTGTCTCCTTTGGTCTCGGAAGCTGGACAAGACTTCATCCACATCTTTCGACGACTGAAGCTGGTGTGTCGTAGGGAGTAAAATTTCTGACATGTCAGCAAGAACTTGGTCCGCAGCTGCATGATCATCAAGCTTAGAACTACTCCCCGATGTCCTTGTCTCATCTCCATCGGAATTATAAGACTGCTTTTCTGTGGAGGGTCTATGAGAGTTCGAAGTGTAGGTGTCTAAAGAAATCTCTCCCATCAAGCCACCTGGGTCAACATAGCCAAGGTCAGCAGCAAAGTCCCAAGTCATTTTGTTCTTTCTTCTCTCCGGGGTTGTTGTTGTGCTGGGAATTATATCACCATCATTGTCAGACAAAACAGGCATTCTTCCATCCACCTCGTCCCTTGCCGAAGCGTTACTCTTGTTTGCAGTGGTTTCTGGACCCAGGGTGCGATGCAAGCTGTCTTGGATCTCCTGGAGGTCCTTTTGTAACATATTATAGTCCACATTAGCTGATTTGTGGGCATTGCTGACAGCCTCTAGATACTCTGTTTGCGACAAGACTTTCTCTACTCTTTTCCCCAGATGATCTTCATCAGACCTGTAACCAGAGCGTTTAGAACTTTGTGCATTCCTGTTATCATCTTTCTTCAAACCAATGCCATTGACAGGCTGCAGGCTAGACTTCTCAATCATTCGTCCCTCAACAATTTCCTGTGGAATGCCCATTAGCTTAGCCCTCTCCATGACAGACATGTACTGCAGATTCTCAGTATTCCTATCAGAACTACCAGATGACTTCAGACCAAGGTGACTTGTTGGTCCACTCATGTGCCTGTCTCTAGCCTGAAGATCCAGCTCTGGACCTCGCATTGTTTGATTCAAATCCGTGTCTCTCCTATATTCTTTGTTTAACTTGACAGGGCTGGGAGTTTGCTCTGACATGTGAGAAATTGTGGAGAAGTCTGTAGTCATGTCTGGTTTCAAGCATACAACTGTATTGGCACTGTCTGTGTAACTGTGGCTAGTGCTGAGACGAGCATTCCCTGAAGCAGACATTGGAGTTATAATGTTCAAGTCTGTGCTGTGTAACGGAGGGTTGAAAGAAATGGTCTTGGCATCCACTATTTTATTGTCGGAATTATGCATACGTGGAGAAGCGTTTGAGTCAGATTCTGTGCCATACGGATTCCAGTCAGTGTCTGATAAGCCAGTCCCAGTTTCCGGGTAGCGAGCATATGAGGCCATTCCATTGAGAAGTTTGAATTCTGTATCTGATGATATGCGAGACTCATCACTGTCAACATTATAGTTCGATGCCTTCAAGCCAGAGAGGAAGTCTTTTGAAACCTCAGTGATAGCACTGTTGACAGCCTCATCACATCCACTGTCATTCAACTCTTTGTTAATGATTGAAAGTGGTATCTCTTGGAGACTGGCACCTGAAATAAAGGATGCAATGAGATATAACTTACTCGGTGCATTCATTGAATTTATTTTACAATATTTTTCAACAGTGGGCATATCTTAGATGCACTCTCCTATCTAAAAAAAAAAAAAAGTTGTTTCTGACGGAGTGCCATCATAAAGATTGTTTTAGTCCTGTTTTTCCACCGTAATGCATAACTTGAACATCAACACCATAAGAGTACCTGTACCCATAAAAAGTACAATTTAGGAAATATGGACATTATTTGCTATCCTAAGTATTAACTATTATGAAGAGATTTGGAGTACCTTATGCTCTCATTCCTAGAGCCTTATTTCCATGATAAAGTGAAAAGTATATTTCTCCTCAGCAAATACAAGCATAATGCCTGTACTCTGTTATGCAATAAGAAACATTTCGTGGAAATGATAAACTTAATATTTATTTCATTAAACAAAAACAAACAAATTTAACAGTGTAAAATGAAAAATATGTGTGCAAGAACTTAATTTTCTGCAGAAGCAATAAATTTATTAAATTAAAAAATGTAACTTGCACTCTTCATACCAAAAAAATTATCTTACCCAGCGAAATGCACTTATCATAATAAGAAAACCCCAAACAAAATGAACTCATTGACTTACATATGTCAAAGAAAGTATACGGACTTCCTTTACTGTACTGAGAATTTCTACAAACAGTCACCAAGCACAGGGGATATCTAACCCAATGCCAACAACAGATGATGAAACTAGCGTTATGTATACTGTACACTTACATACTAGACTCAGAGCCAATAGAATATATTGAAGTACTACTGAGATGTTGGCACCACGTAATTGGGAACTTGCAAGAGAAATTTTGTATTAAGCACACAATCTATCACGTGGGCAGGCAGTGCAGTGGTCTTTACTTTCAATGCAAGCATTCAGCTGTGTTCAAGTGAATAAAAGGGAAATAAAAATAGCTTCAAGGCGCTGCTGTGACAAAACCAAATTTAAGTGCAACAGATTGAAAAATACAAAATACTCCATAAAGTCAATATTTTGTACAAAAGTGTTGGTATTGGCAATAAGACAGAACTACGAAAAACGTTATTGTTAATTGTATAATTACCATCTGATTCTTCAGACTTCCAAGCCTCGTCATACAGCAACTCGTACTGGTGAGATGATGATGGATGACCATCTACATGAAGTCCCAACTCTTCATGCTGGAGAAAGAAATTTTAGACATTTCAGACAAAAAGGTATAAGCTTAAATTTGGTCTCATCATGATGCTTACACAAAATATGGGTTGTATATTCAGCGCGCCAAGAAGTGGTTCCCCTGTGCCATGTGCCCGCTGATTCGGCGGGCCTATGATGAAGTCATTTTTAAATGTAATTTTCCACTTTATAAAGGGACAAAACGATGTCAAGACTAACCCTCATTGATATTACAGTAGTCTCCAGCAAATCTGAGTGCCATTTTCATTGTTTTGAAGAAGTGAAGCGTTGACGTTCTGAGTTGTGTTTCTGATTTTTTAACTTTTTTTGTTGCTTTTCGCAATAGCATCCAAGAGACTAGCCTATCGACCTTCCTTATAAGCTGAAGAAGTTCTAGACGAAATTAATTATGAATGACTGTGACAGTGATTATAATTATTTCAATGGAGTTTCTGAGTTAGGGGCTCTATGTGATGGGAGTACTAATTGGAGCAATTTTCCCCGGCACAGTTATGTAGCTCATAGCCGGCAGTGAAAGGGTTAAAAAGGGAACAGGTGAGAACTGAAAGGAGAGGAGATAAAAAATAAATGCACTATCTTGTTAATCATTTCACATGATAAGACTACCAAAGATCTCTTAAGTAGAAGAGGCAAAAAAATCACTTCTCTCATTCTAAGTGACTTACTTTAGACAAGCAGTGGTCATTATGAAAGCAATTTTCTTGTCAAGAAAGAAAAACTCTGTGACTATCCCAAGAGATAAGAAAAAGTAAACACAGCATTTCTGGTTGTTCCATTTTTAGTATTCTTAACAACAATGTGTTTTAACAATACAGGAAAATCTATCTTTTTAGCATTCATCAAATGACAAACCCAAGCCACGCTGGTACCTGCCATGGCTGACTTGAACATAAAAAGAAGACAACCACATTTTAAAAAATGACTTAGAGATGCTCAATTAATATAGGACATGATCATGATGGCATGGGGCCACACGGTTACGGACACGGAGGGAAAAAAGTCAAAGCAGGTTAGTAAAAAAAACCCAAAAATCATAAAAACTAACACGATAGGAATACAGTATTCTTTTTTCATTTATCAAAACAAGCACTTCTAAGGGGGGAAAAAATGCTCACACTGGTGCCCATTTTAATTAATTTTTGCCATGATAAATTCAGCCTCCTATCAAGAGACGAGACACAATTGTTTTTAGGAAAAGACTGTTTCAAGTACTGCATACTCACTGTTTGGGATATGTCCTCAATCCTCTGATTTGACTTGTCCATTTCATCAATAAGATGTTGCATCAAATTGAATTCTGACAAAGCTCCACTATGTGGAGGACTGAGAGGCTAAAAATACAAAAACAAAAGAAATAATTTATGTACAAATAAGAGGCCAAACATTTTCTTCAACATTTCTATGCAAGCACAATGACAATTCAATTAAACGTACCAAAGTGAAAATCTTATGAAAGCTGATTATCCTCCCACTACCCACAATGTCCCAGGTAAAAATCCAAAATTAACTACTGGAGGAGGAAAGCAGTACAAACCTTTCTGCTGAGAAGAGAAACCAGACAAGTACGTAGTATAGGACAGGAAAGCTATGATTCATCTGACCAAGAGAAAGTTGATTTATTTCAGTCTGTTGTATGAACTCAAACTCTCTCTGGCCTCGTAGACAAAAAAAGCATAAATTTTGGGTTGATATTCCATCCTCTGAAATTTGCACAGAGCATTTTATGAGGCAGACGGATGGAAAGAGAAAGCAATAAATGGAAGGCAGGAGCAACACACAAGAAAGAAAGGAACATGTGTTAGTTTGGTGACTGGCTGAAACCTCAGTTACCTTTTAGCGACTTGCCCACCTTTTAAAACTCTTTACACTCGCCAAAACCCGTCTCAACAACTAAAGCTGAAAGTAGTTAATCACGGCAGAATTCTTTTTACTGCATTCTCATGTGATTCTGCTTTTGGCAAAGTTCAACAATTATAATAAATTTCAAATTGATAATTTAGGCTAAAGTCCAACTGTGAAAGCGCCTTCCTGTTCCCTCACCCTAAACCTAAACCAAATCCTTACCGACCTGTAAAAACAAATACATATCATACATACATACATACATATATATATATATATATATATATATATATATATATATATATATATATATATATATATATATATATATATATATATATATATATAATATATATATATCAGAGATGCCAACCCGCCAGGAAAGATATTAGGGAGATGAGCCAAAATTTTTAGGGAGAAATGAAAAAACAATACGGAGATTTCAAAATCATGCGGTTCCGCAAGTACTATACACAAAAAATTTAATAAAAAAGGAGATTATTTATTATAATGCTAGATCTACATGCATTGACAGATAGCTTGAGCGACAAGGCAAGAATGACGATGAATGAAGAAAGACTGGTGACGTCACACGACCATGAACGGGGCAAAATCTAACAATGAATCAAGAAGAGTGACGTCATGCGACAAAAATTCAAAGGCTTTTCTATTCTAAGACAAAGGCTGGCCCTGTTTACGTGCCTAAGACCCAATCAACCAATAATTAATAACCTACGGGCCTAGCTTCACAGAACCATTGTTTCATGGATTCGCTGCTCCAATTAGCCCCCTTTGTTCGCATTACGAATGAAATTTGAAAGACTGCTTGATTACTTTCTTTTATGGTCAGTCACTATACTGAAGTCTTACCTTTGCAGTATAGTACAGTGATAGATCTATCTAGTGTATAGCAACTATGGGCCTAGCTTCGTGGAACCATTGCTTCGTGGATTAGCTACTCTGTAGCTAGCCTCCTTACTTTACTCGAATGATTGAAAGACCGCTCCACTACTTTAATGGTCATATTTTTCTTGATTTCTAGAAAGATCCTGCAAAATTGAGAAAAAATGAGGAAAATCGGGAGACTGGGGCGATTGCCGGGAGGTCGGGAGACTGACTCATTTTTCGGTCGTCTCCTACAACAATCAGAAGGATTGGATCTCTGATATATAACCTTTGAAAATTTAGCTACATGTATCATGCAAAAATTATCAAACTCATGAGATGGTATGATGTAGAGATACTTGAGACAGAAGGAACACAAATTAAACAAAACAATGGTCAGTATTATTTTACTTTCACTCCTAACTGTCTCATACTCAGGTATTTTTTAAAAGCACTTTTTATGAAATTCATAAATTATTTTTATCGTTTTAAAAAATTTAATATAACATAAAACTTACAATCAATCTGTCACAAATTATTAATTTTTAGATGGGAAATGTCTTTATTTAAACTTTGTATTTCAGTAGACCTAATTGTGTAGTTGTAGTAACATTTCACATGCTTTTTTAAGATGGGGGGCATGTTTCCTGTAACCTAAAAAAATTGGGAAGGGGGGGGAGGGGGGGGGGGTGTTCATGGACCTGTCTTCTAGCGTAATCACATGAGTTGACTGAAATGTTAACTCACTTCAGACGGTTCACACAACAGTAGCGTGACCCCCGCCGCGACGCTCGCGACGGCTCCCACAAGCCCTGCGTGACCAACTTTGGACATTTTTTTTCGCTCTACAAATCATGCACGGATCGCGAGGCCCGCCTCGTACCCTTGTTTGGCCAAGCCTGAGATACTTAGACTTTGTTTCGTATCTCTGGGGCCCGTAGTTTTTAAGTTATTGAAGTAGGTGAAGGACAGTGACCCCACCTGGGGTTGAACAGACCGAAACTCGCGCTTTGTTTTTTTCTATACAGTCGCGTCGTAGTAACAGTCGAAGAAGTCGCATGAACAAGAATCACATAATTTCGCCATTTTCTATACTTCCGTACGTTTTATAAGTTCTAGTGTCTCAGAAAAAGATGTGTCTAATAGTTAGGATCCTGGATTATGTACTCGAACACGGCCTGAGTCGTAGTTCTAGGGCTAGATCTAGCACTAGTACTGGTGTTGTTTTTCACGCAACGAAATCACAGCGTCGTGCCGTACATCTGTCTCATGTAATTCAGTGTATGGGTCTGAATCAATGCACAGACCAGCTTTTATATTTTCACCAAACACTCGCACATGGATACAAATCAAACCAGAACACTTTGAACTTTTATTTTTGTTGTTGTAGTGAATTTCATTCTACCTGTCACGTCTCTGGAAATTTTTCGGAAAATCAAATTCATGCCAATTTTTAAAAAATTATACAAAGTAAAGTATTAGACTTAGACAACTTTAATTTTTTTTATAATTAGAACTTGAATGTTACTTTACTGTGTCAAAAAATATTTACAATAGGGTAATTCTGAGAGTTGTTGTGATTTATTGAAATACACCCCCAAAAACACCAGTCTTCAACGCTTGTGACTGGTGAAAGGGCCCAGTCGTAAGTGAGTCCAAGTGCAATTGAAAAGCATTAGAATTTTGTATGTGTGAATGTAAGTCCTAGGTAACTGGAGGGTAACTTTTTACTTTCAATTCAGCACCGTTTTGCATTGTTTTGGGGGTCAAACTGACTTAATTTTTGCAGCAGATTGCACTATGGTCACTACAACTGTTGCAGTTCAATCATTTTCAAGAAAATTTCAAACCTAATTCCAAAACATCAAATTACGAGGAAAAACGGGGTGGATGCCCTCCTGTAACTGTAACCCCCCACTCCCCGATTTTTTACTTCAGGGGGAGGGGCATGCCCCAATGAAGAAATCCCCCGTTAAGTCCAAAGAGCGGAACTATGCAATTAATTAGCTTATATATATATATATATATTTATTGTGATACTGTGAATAAATACCATCAAATATTTTTTAAATGATTAATGTGCGACGAATGCAAAGTCGATATAATCGTGTAAAACGATTCCACAAGAAAAGGCCTTTATATATATATTATAATACCTGAGCATGAGAGGGTAGTGAAAATAAAATAAGGCCAGCTCTATTTCTCCGAATGTTTGGGAAAACAAACTTGAACTCGAAGTCTATTTCTCCGAATGGTTTCCGTTCTCGAGATATGTTCGCTAATTTGCGAATGGAGAGGCCTGCGCGAGAGTGTGTGTGTGTGTGTAAGGTGTTGGTGGGGGGCCTTGGGGCGTGGAGGGATTTTGTTTTGTTTACTTACATGAGAAGGATTTTAGTTTTTGCTAAAGTGATTAGTGGTGACTAAATGCAAAATAGGTTTCTTCCAAAGTCGAGCGGTCTTGTTTTCTCGCCGCAGTACCTTTTGAAGGCATTTTCAAATTAAGTATAGTCCAGGAACGTTGTCCAAACCACAACTGAAGTATCTGAATATTCAGACGTCTAAAAATCTCTAGCTCTAGACTCTAGAAATTGAATTCGACACAAACATAAATATGCTCCTTCCCAGTCCTCACAAAAAGGCAGAATGAGAATGAAAGATGATGCCTAAATCTCGCAAAAACCAAAAAATCTCGAGAACGGAAACCGTTCGTAGAAATTTTGTGTTTTTAGTTTACTTTTTAGAGTCAAGTTCCAGCAGCTTGAATGAAAGAAAAGTTCTTAGACAAGGCTACTCTAGTTCAGAAGTTCTAGTCTACACGAGTAGATCTCAGATCTAGATCTAGAGTCTACTGGTTAGCATTCTAACCTTCTATTGTTACATTACTAGATCTCTAGATCTAGATTTAGAATCTAGTTACTGTAGCCGACTCTCTCAGTCTGTCTAGATCTAGATTTCTAGATCTAGATAGATCTTGATTTAGAAGCTCTAGATCTAGATCTAGAATCTAGTCCCAGAAGCCAGAAGTAGAAGAGACAATTTGAATGATCTATTATTCTAGTCTATAGTTTATAATATAATAGCTAGATCTAGATCTAGATTCTATGTCCTTTTCTATATTCAACGATATGCAAAGTAATTTGTGCATTATTGAATTTTACATGATGAAAACACGTTTTAATTTAGAAACATCAGATCCACAGTAGAAAGAACAGAAGGAAGGGCGAATCAACTTTCATTTCAAATCAAATTAGTCAAACATGCTCGGGCACGCAAGCTTGGTGGACAACGTAACCACTTGTGTCCGCACAGAATATGAAGTTTATAGATAATCTGTCATCTCTAAACGAAGTAAGATACCGTTCGAGCATTATATATTAATAAATATGTAAACAGGTTGGTATTCGTACCCGAAAACTCATATTTCATATATTTTCAGTCACGGTAGCTACGGATGTCGATGCCAGGGATCCATGTTGTAAACAAACTTACCGCTGCATGCCTCCGCCGATTCTCGGCTCATTTCGGAAATTATGAAGTTGTTATTGTTGTGGGGAATAGAAATACTGCTTCAATCATTTCTACAAACAGAAATGTTCATAATTTCCTGTGCATTGAAATTTTGTCCTCGAAATTTAGGACATAATAATAAAAAAAAATATTAAAGAAATGGAAACACAACGTTCTGTAAAATGTTCCAGTCCAAATAAATGAGGGAGAACACAAGGGCACTTTCATCAGATACAGAGAGAAAACTAAGCTATAGAAAACTATTCTAGATCTTGGCTGCTTTTGTCAAGCAATTTTATCTTAACCGTTCTACGGTTTAAAGTAATCATGAATACTTTGAATATCTAAAGAAATTTTAAAGAAAAAACACTGATCTATCAGTATTGAATGAACTACCGTTGAAATAGTAATAGCCTAATATAATGAAAATTTAAAAATAGGGCTAATTGAAATTTTCAAACTTTGATCCACACCAACTTTCTCTTACAATAAATTTCAAGATGTCTGCGCCCTTGTCGAGCAATGGTGAGCTTCGACCCGTAGAATACACAATAATACACCGACGTCTTCGAGGCATTGCTATTATAAATCCAAGGCCTTATTTATACAATTAGAATCTATACTATAGAGAATGGAATAAGACAGGTCTCCTTCGAGGCTTCTTATTGCTGTATGTAAATGAGTTCCGTAACGAGCAGAATTGAGGGCAAAGGGTAGGCCTATAAATACTAGATCTAGATCTATAACTATAATCCTATATATATCTAGATCTAGATAGCGATTTTGTAGTTTCGTTCGTTAAAGTCAAGAGATGGGGGGTTTCAGGGGGGCTTGCCCCCCTGACCTAATAAAAATATGGAGGTTGGGGGGTTCAGGGGGGCATGCCCCCCTGAATGTTTTCCAATTGTGATGTTTTAAAGTTAGGTTGCATCCCTGCTCTTTGTGCAGCCTATTTCAAAGAGTATTTTTGGTCATCAAGACTTCTGTGGATTTCTTCTCTGGATGTAAACAAATTGGTCGTGGACTTAAACGAACGGAACTACAAGATCACCCTAGATTCTAGTAGGGTAGGGACTAGATCTCTAGATATTAAGATCTAGATTCTAGAGATCTAGGGTTTGGGTTAGGTCTCTTCTTTATTGTGTTTGAATTGATGGGGTGGTCGCTCGTTACGGAACTCCTTCCAGATATTGACTTTTTAAAAGTAGGCTGTAGATCTAGAATCAGAAACACAATACTTAAACAAAGACGGTGAGAAACAACTGGTACCATACTCTTGCTGTTCCTAGCCTAAAAGCGTGCAATTTCGTTGGGCAGTGGAGAGAGAGAGGAGTAGCGCGAGAACTTCCGGGCAAAACAAAATAGCGACCCGCGTAGTTCGGCTCGATTCGAAAAGTGAAAAATAGCCATAGCATCTTTGTAGACCAGCAAATTAGCTTACTTTTGTGCTAGATCTATAATGTCATTTTTTCTTAGCTTTACTTTCGTCAAGACTCAATTTGATCATCGAAGTGGCTAGCCGTACTTAAGTACGGCTAGACTGAGAGTCTAGCCGTACTTAGATCTAGGTTTGGCCCAATCGACTCAAGCCTGTTAAGTACACAGGTCTCATTAGACCTAGATCTAGTAATTATTCAGGTTCAAATACATGCAAGTCAGTAAGGCACCTTTTGGTTTTGTCTGAAATACAAATACTTTTGGCATTGCAAACTAAAAATTTCATTTACAATACAGCCATCAATATTAAGTACGGCTAGCCTGACAGTCTAGCCGTCCTTAAGTACGGTTAGCCTGGCTGTCTACCCGTACTTAAGTACGGCTAGACAAGAAGTCTAGCCGTACTTAAGTACGGCTAGACTGCCAGTCTAGCCGTACTTATCTTAGGTCCTATTAACATTAGAAAACAGGAGGTTTTAAAATACATACACTGTCATTAAGGCACCTGGTTTCGTCTCAAATACAAATGCTTTAGGTACTGCACACTAAAAATGTATATTTACCATTCAGTAGGCCTATTTTTTGTAAATGGTCAGTCTAGCCATCATATTAAGAATAAGTACGGCTAGACTGCGAGTCTAGCCGTCATTAAGTACGGCTAGCCTCTTCCTTTGATCATCCTCACCGATAGACACAGAGTAGTCCGAAATTAGGAAAAACGTCTTGTTTCACACCAGGTGAGAATAGCCAACGCTGGCAAGTTTCACCTGGGGTGAGAGGTCAATCGTATTTTTATTCTCACTCCGGGTGAGGATAGCCACTTCCCTAATAAAAGCAAGTTGGCTTTATCAGGATTCCATTGTATGTTGTCATAAATATTTTTCCTTGTTATTTTATTGGATTTACTTGGATCCAGAGCTAGAATCATAGCAGGCGGCACATGTCCATATCTGCTCATCTCTCCTTTCCAGCGTCCACCTCAGGGTCTTCCTGCTAATTGTCTCCATGAGGAGCTGGTTTGAGACACGCCTGACCACTCCTCGGAGCAAACTTTTTTTTGCTGTTCCCCGCACACACTTTTCTTTTATTGTGCTGAGTAAGTGGGAGTCTTTCTCCTCTTGGTCATGAAGGCTCTCCTTGCATCTGGCGATCACCATTGGTGGGTTGAGCATGATTCGGCCATTGGGTGCTGCTTTGCCGGCAAGTTAATCAGCACGCTTATTTCCGTGCACCCCGGCGTGACCAGGGCAGAACACCCATGTAATCCTTAGGAGGTGGCTATTTGCAATGGAAGCTCTGCAGTCACTGTAGAGCCACCCACTCCTGATTTTTTCTAGGGTGCTCATCGAATCTGTGACAAACAGGGCATGTTTATACACTTCCATACTGATCCATTCCAGCGTCTCTGTTATAGCTTTGACCTCCATTGCCATGATCGATGTAGGGCACTCGTAGGCTCCAGACTGTTCTTAATTATCTTCCCGTCAACTCGAGCACTGAATGCCCACCCAGATTTCTGGCCACGCCTCACTGATCCGTCGGTGAAGACGATAACATCACTCATCACTGAATTTTCCTCAAGGATGACCACAATTTCCGCATTAGTTGCATTTGCTGGCCACTTGTGACACTCTCGAGTAGCTATCACCTTCATGAAGTTGCTCATGTCTTTCTCCAGCCTCATCCAGTCACATCCTCTTCGTATGTCCTCGATTTCACAGCACATATCGAGAGTTCGCTCCGCCTGCGCCATCCATGAAGATCCTCTTTTCAATCTTTGGCGTACTTGGTTTCCTATTTTCGGATGTAGAGGGTGACATTCGTCTGCTGTTACTCGAAGATAGGCCTTGACTTGTGCTAGCTTATGTCGGTGGGTTAACGTTGGCAGGTCCAGCAGATACCTCATCGCTGATGCTGCTGTGTCACTGGTGCATCCCAAAACAGTTCTCATTCCTTCATTTTGAATGACTTCAAGGCGATGTAGCTGGGTTTTGGATAGAGTGAGCATACCAAGGCCATAGTCCACTGCAGACAGTACAACCGCTTGAAGCATGATCATAAGGGCGGGCTGGGGCATAGATGCAGCCATCACTCTCAGTGCAACAAGTCCTTTCCTTGCTCTGGTGATAATGTTCGTCACATGGTCTTTTGCCGAGAGGGTGCGGTCAAAGATAATGCCCAGGTACTTCAATTTCTCTTGCCTTTCCAACTGCGTACCTTGTATATTGACAGAAGGCATGATAGCCTTGACTGCCCTGTTGTTGAGACTGGTCCACAGGACCCCTGCCTTCGCTGGATTAAGTTTTCCATTGTTCTGCTCGCAGGAAGATACTGGGAAGGAGAGGAAGAGTTAAAAGTCACATTGGAGGCTGTTCGAAATACTTAAGACGGCACCTGACACAGCACCAGGCCCAGATGGGGTGCGCTATTCCCACATCAAGGATCTGGATGACCGCAAGTTGGAGAGTCTCGCAAACATCCTGGATATTAGTTTGCATGACGGGTTGGTTCCACAGGATTGGCTGGGATAATAAAGTACTATCTTATCTTATCTTCCTTCAATGTCCCTTAGAATGCTCGTTCTTTCGTTCTCATTGTTCTGATTTGTTTGCCGCAGGTATTTGTTCAAAAGAGCCTGCCCTTTCTCCTCTTCCGATCTAACCCATGTACTGTCCTCTGTCTGAAAATCAGGAAGGCATGTTCTTGACTGACTTTTGTTCATTGCCTTGTGAAACCTCCAAAACTTTTGTAGGGATCTGTCACCTGTAATATTCTGGCAGAAGTCTTCCCATTTCTTGTTTTTCTCCTGCTCTGCTGTTTCTTTAAAAGTCTTTGATGCCTTTTTTGCAGCTTCCTGGAGTTCTGGATTCATTCGATTCCTTTGAGCCGCTCAGTGCTTTCCTTTTAATAACTCAGCGCTCCTGTATTTCCTCATTCCGCCATGGGGGTTTGGTCATGTCCTTTCTTATGCATTGGCTTTTCTCTTTTGTGTTCTTGCGTAGCATAGGGTCAGTCTCCAAAAGCGTGTATCTAAATGGTCTCTTCCTCTTCGGGCCACATTTCTCAAGAGTCTTTCTGATATGGACTCGGCATGGAAGATGGTCGCTTCCTTGACTGCTCAAAACGTCCCATCTACATTTAGCTGCCAGTTATTTTTGCTGCCTTGTTATTTTTTCACTTCACAAAAGTGTAACTTTACATTGATTCTAGACTCCCCCCCCCCCCCCTCCTTCTTACACTTTTCTTACAGGAGCCAAGACCCACCACCCCCTTTCTAGGCATTTGAACGCCCCCTTATAAGATTCGCACATCAGTAAATCTGCTCATGCAGCTTGACCAACTTATTTCCTTGCCATGTGCATTATGTCTTTAGTAGTAAAACATACTTTTCCATGAGTGGTGGTTGACTCATTTAGCACTAGATCTATATGCCTTGTCTCTCAATGTAGGTGAAAGCCTTTTTCATGCCAGACATTCATTTGTGCATGTAAAGGCAAGTATTGGCAGTTTTTATTCAGATTACATATTGGGGTAGAAAATGAACTACTGTTTAAACACATTTGAGAAGACTATTAGATTCTACATGTTCTTTTTCTTGATAACACTTTTTTTATATGGTTTTTACTATTTCTTTTTTCAGCTATACATCCTGTGAGATGAACTGAAACAAATCACAGTTTCAAAGATGGGAACTCGTCTTGCAAGCAGATCATTTGTTCATCAAAAGGAACTCCTGGCAGTCGCTAGACATCTTTGCAGCAAACCAAGTCATCTTTTGCTGAAAAAAGAAGTAGTAGTCCACCAGTGCCAACGTCATAAATCAAGACATTCAAAAGATTCCCTTTCTTCAATCATCCAGCCTCTTTCCGTCAAACCTGTCTCACGAAATGCAGATGACATCAATATTGGAGAGGAGTTAACTGGTACTCTCAAGAAAGGTAGGCTTTAGATTTTGCAGTCATGCCAAGTTCTTTGAAAAGATGGGATTTGTCATAATTTTTTTCTTGGTAAGACTTTCAAAGACCCGGACCAATTTTCTATAAATCTAATACATGGCATGGAAATAAGCTCTGTTATGACATGCTATTTGAATACAATTTTCTCTTCGTGATTCACTGAATTACATTTAAAATGTATTTAATATATCTCAGGCTTGTTTGTTGTTGTATTTGCAAAGTCAATTCATTACTTTAAATGACCTTAATACATCAGAGTTAATGTAACAATCTCCTTGTGGGTGGTTGGCGGGTGCTCTGGTGTGGTTTGCTTCTTCTTTCCTATCAAACATCTATTGTCCTTATCTCCCCTTCTTCTTTTTTATGTTTGTTACTCTCTTGTAACACCTCTAATCTTCTGGCCCTCATATATGACCTTATGCAGTTGCGAGCGCCGTAAAACCTCTACTGAAACTAAAAAACAATCTCCTTCTCTCCCCCCCCCCTCTTTCTTTTATTTGGGGGAAAAGGGAAATTCTGTTAGTAATTGTACAGTCAAACTGTCTGATGACAGGCCAATGTTTTTAACTCTTTATGGCCTGAGTTTTTTCCACGGTTTCCCGGAGTTTTTTCTTACAGTTACCTAACATCATAACCCCAAAAGCTTGCCTCCAACTTTTAAATAACAAAAACAAAGGCTTAGTCATTGCTAAAAAACTTGGTTGGGGAATAGTTCTGAAAAACAAGCAAAAGCTAGCAGCACTAAATAAAACAAAACAGTTGTCACTAGTACTGGACGCTCCCAGCATCTGATGGGGAACAGGGTTATTACCGCTGGATGCTCCCAGCATCCGATGGAGTTCAAAGAGTTAAGGGATTCATTATTCACCAAACTGATATGTCTGGTACAGTGATATTTAAAGCTATAGATAGTGCTTTTATATACACAGCAATACTGGAAGCTATAGGTACAGTTGTATTCTGTCTCTAAATTAACCTGCAAGGAGTCTGAATTTGGAGGAATAATATGTTTGCCTAACTTTCAAAGTATTAAATTTATGAGGCTGAATGATGGAAAAGTAACTTACCATGTCAGTGACATGATAGTGTTGTCAAAACAGGTATAATAATTTCAAACATCAATCCTACCCTTTGTAAAGCTTGTTTCTGATAATTTACTTACTTTCAGCACATAGAATTATGTTTTCAAAAACATCTGGTAGAGCATAATGTGTCTGTTTTGTGGATGGCATGCTCAATCTGTAATATAGTGAATATGTTTTATATTTTGTAGACTTGCCTTTTCATTAGCTTGCTATCCATAAATGATGTTGTATGATTTCAGAAAAACTCCTGAAAGTACTCACGAAATTCCACAGCAGGGACAAAGTGAAGAAACTGGCCTTTGAAAATGGATTGGACAGTGAGTGTTGTAATATCTTTTGTGTATGAATCCCTAGAAAAACAAATAGTGTAGATTTATGTATGTGTTTTTTCTTTGTCAAAAGTGAATTCAGTTTTTGAAAACCAGTTTATGTTATTTATGATGTAATTTTAGATTTTCGTCTGTATTTGTATTTTTATTGTAATATTTTGCACGTATTCTTTAATTTTTTTATATTTTCTCTCTAATAGATCGTCTTTTTCACAAAGCCTACATCAGCTTTCGAAAGTATTGCGTTGAGTCAGAGCAGCTCCCTGTGGATCTTCACATTGTGATCAGTGATGTCTTGCAAGGCTCTGGTGAGTTCATGTCAGTGAAGAAAAGAAATGATATCTTGTTTGTCCTTGTTGAGATCTGGTTTTACAGCTCACAACATTGCACATTTATGCAAAGCTAGCAGTAACATTGAATGACCTTTTTTGTACATCCCACTTAGTCACTGCTCCCAATGCCCAAGTTTGAGCTAGGGTAGATGCAATATGCACCATTTTTTAAATTTGTAATTAGGCCTCTTTGAAAAAAGAATGGTAATGTCTTTAAAGGCGACACACGCATTTTGGGGTTGATGTATTCAATTACTGGGTTCTTTGTAATTAAAACTTTTTGACCAGGACTTTTGGAAATCTTTACTGTTACAGACTTTAATTTTTTTATTAACAATTTTTTTTCTGCTTTTTAGGGGTGGTGGTAAAATGTCTTCTTGTATACAATTATTTCTGCCAGGTGGTGCTCCTGATTGCTAATTGTCTCTTAATAGGTATTGATCAATGCCAACAGCTGGATCAATAACAACTCGAGACAAATGTTACGATAACTTGTGTGGGATTTTGTTCTGTGGAAAGTCAATAGTCCTTTTTAAATAGTGGCCCTCTTAATACATGTAATGCATGAGCTGTCTGTGACATGTGTGACACATATAAATTGTTTTATTATGTACATTCATGTACATTTTTTGTTGATGTAAGAAGTAATAGTTGTTGTTTTTTTCCCCCTTCCTCTACAGGCAATGTGGATGATATTTTCCCATATTTCTTGAGACACTGCTTTGAGATTTTTCCTCATTTAGAATGCATGGAAGACCTGAAAAAGATCAGTGACCTGAGACTACCGGCTAATTGGTAAGACTGGTGTTTTGGTTTTAGTTTTGGCCTATGAGAAAGAAAAGAATTGCAGTAGAGAAATGCCTGAAAGAAAATGATGTTACAATATGATGAAGATACTTTATTATTCTCTTGTCATTCACATGGCCATTTGCTATAGGTATTGTAAACCCTGTTCTTTCACAACTTTTCTTCATACAACAGATGTAAAATATTGGAGTGATAACACCAACTACAGGTAAGACAAGATTACTGGTGTACGTTGACCATAAGTGCGTGCCCAAAATCTTCTACTAGAAGAGAAATATTTTATATTCATTAAGTAGATTGTGCTGATTTACCATGAGAGTTATTTGAAACTGGAATATTCACTCCATGTTTATTTTTTGAAATGCTATCTACCTGTTCATATAGTTTAACAATAATAATTAAATAGATGGCATTTATATCAGTGCATTTCAATAATTTACAATGCTCAATGCTCTTGACAAGACATAATAGTAGCCCACAATGGCATTAAAATGCTGGTAACATTCACGTACAAGGGTATTCATGTACATAATGCTGACATAAAATGACACAAATGTGTGTGTTAATGTATAAATATCATGTATACAGGAACATATTCAGTGACTGGGAAGTATAAAAAAAATTATATTATACACACACACATACAGGCATGCCGCACACATGCACACGCACAGGCTCTCTCTCTCTCTCTCTCTCTCACACACACACACACCTACTTTCTTATCACACGAATTTCCGGTTATAGCTTTCAGAGTACGCTCAGTAGGCTTGAGCTGGGCCGATACCATGATTTACGTAGGCCTATCGGCTCTGTGCTCTCACCATTTCGTATTAAAAATTCTGTTAAAATAAAAGCGTTGATGTATTTTTGCCTAAAATTGCAAGAAATTGCGAAAATAGCAAAAAATTGCGGGTTTATTGCGGAACTCGACGAAAACGCTGCCGCAAGACCGCGATTTCCTGGAGGGCCAGAATTATTGTAGTAACTTCTGAACACAAAATTTGGGATACTACTCTTTGATGTACTCTTAGGTGTGTATTTGGTATTTTCCAAAGCCCTGACTTTTGTTAAAAAGTGGGTTCAGCTTCTCAAAAGGGCACACACTTGTCGTTTCTGTGGCTTTTGCAGTGTTGTTTATTGTTGAAAGAATTCGAATTATTCTTTGGAAATATCAATGTTTCAGTTTGCCCGGAGATTCAGCCGCAATGAGCCTCTCACCCTGGACTGGTTGTGCAGACAGATTGGCTGGCCTTTGAAGCCCCCAGAGAACTTGGTGGAGTTGGTTCATCTAGAGAGTGTCTTTGATGTACTGGATCTCTACCTGTGGCTCAGGTCAGGATGATTTATTGTCACTGAAACCAGTGCAATGTATATATATTTTCTACCAGTTTCTCACAACTAAGTCAAGCATATTATGTTCAGAATATC